TATGAAAGAAGAAATCCATGGTTCTGTTTTACGAATAAAAAACTATATATTGGTGAAAATGAAAGTGTATTTATATAAAAGTAACAGATTTTTTTTCATAAGAATGAAACAATTAGTTATTTTTCATTTTGACGGTCACTCTCCCTAAATGGAAACACTTGATTAAACTAAATAGTTTAATAATGTTACGAATTGTATAGGTTTTGTTGTTTATTTTTAAAAGGACATCTGGATCTTATTCGTTTGAATTATTAAATTAATAATTTACATGTTAATGTATATTTTTTTGAGAATTTTATTTTTATTTAGTTAATGACCATAATATGAGTTCTGACTGAATAAATGAAAATCGAATCGAATTAAACCATCGATGGTTAAATACAATTTTTTTTTCTGTTCTGTTTGATTTTTGTTAGATCATTATTAACATGTTGCATTTCTTAATTTATTTTTTCCTAATTTAAACATTAATACCTAAAATATTCTATTTCAAATCTCAGCTGATCTTGAACATTTTTTTAATGATATTTGCAACTGTATAAGTACAAATACATCAAGTAGGTGTGTACAGAGGAAGAAATCAGATGAAAACACTTGTTGAGAAACTACCCATTGGTAGTATTCTAATAATATGTCTACATAAGGAGATCACGAGGCCATCTTCTTTTCAGACGCCTCGGAGGAAATCAGGGATCACGAATTGAAGAGGAAGCAAGGTTAGAAACAAGAGGATTCGGATGGTTATGATGTTTATCATGGAAGGATAGGTATCTGGATTGGGCCAAATCGGAAACATGGAACATTAAGGCCTTTATGAATTATTTTATTTGTGACAAAGTAAGGAGCATTGAGAATTTTAGTAAGGATTGGATACGAGAGGAATTTTATGGTTTAGTGGAACCTCATAGTTCAACTCCGTAAGTCCAAATAGGTCGTTGTTTGTCCAGTAATTTTTTCTGTCTTAAAAGTTTTTTTTGGGGGGAATATCATTGACTGTAATTTGGAATCCACGATTTTTATGTTTACGTCAGTCCCCTCTCCCCTCTATAGCAAAGAGAATTTCTGTGTCCGGCACAGAGGTAATCAGTTAATAATAACATAATTAAACTAAAAAATAAAGAGTCCACAACCCTAAACGCACTGACGTGTGTTAACATGAAAATACCATGTAATAATATCTCATTGTACTTATTAAGTAAATATTAGGTTTTTAAAAGAAAAAAGTTTTATACAGCGCGTATCTTTCGTTACGTAATACATTACGCTGGCTGCTTTCTCTGTCACCGAAGCTATTATCGATTCTGTGAGGATGGTCAGTGTTGTGCGGTGAAGTTGTTTGGCTCCAATCCTGACTGACAATGAGGTATAAATGTAGAAATAATGACATCAGGGACTGAATGAGACCGGACCTCCGTATAAATCTCACGCTGCCATTACGAATTCCGTGATAGATTTTCGAAGTAATTAATTCTCGAAATAATAACTAATACTCGATGTGAGAAAAAAAAACCTATAATTTGTACATCAAAATTTGAATTGAATACTCTAAGCGCACTTTTTACTAATTGTTTCTTTTAAATTTCAAATTTAGTCTGTTGTGAATACGCTTCCTGTTTTTTAAAATGAATATTTCTAATGATTAACAATATATTATAGTGATTCTCAAAAATCTAATCTATCGATTCAGTCATAGGCGCCGACTTTCCATTTTGATTGGTGGACAAACAAAAAAAAATTGAGGAGGTTCATATTTTGTGTAAAAATTCAACACAATTATTGTGGAACGAATAATATTAATATATTTAAGTATAATATTGAAAATTTAAAAATGAATTTATATATTACATATTTGTATACATTAAACATGGACGAGGGCAGAGGTGTCCAGAGGGGGGTTTCATGGCGATAGTTGCGATATCAAAATTTTTGAGGACATATTCTGACAGGTTTTCGAATTTTTGAGGGGACAAATTTCGAAATTTTCTGACTAAGGGGTAAGAGGAGAACATGGAACAGACAGCAGCAAGTGTAATTGTATATGATTTACAATATTTCTAATTCTACCTTACCTTGCTCTGTTTTTAAGAAAAGGTGACCAATAGGATGGAGGGGGGAGGATAGGTTCTTGCGCCATTGACCTAGGGGAGGAAGACACCTTCCATAACATAGTTGCATTCCTAGAATTTTCCAGCTAAAAATGAATAGTGCTAAAAACTGAAAAATGTTTTTGATTTCTTAGTCTGTATTAGGTACAACCTCAAAATAAAAATACAAAGTTTTAACAATCTGACTAGTTATGTAAAAATGTTTATACAATCATTCTCTATAAAATATATTTATTCTTGTACTTATTAAATATAATTTTTTCAACTACGCCGCAGAAAATGTGATAAGAAAATCACGTGAAAATGACAATTTGCACATAAGAAATAAATCATAGAATTGAAGGATATGTTGTTCCACTATTACCTTTGAATATAAACGAAAATTTAAATAATAAGCATAGACAAGATGATTCATTCATTTCTCATTTATGCTTCTACAAATATTGACTCAATTTCTTTAATTCCCCCTACCTTATGAATGGATTAGTGTTGCCCGAAATCGGTTTTGGTCTAGGTCTTCACTTTGCAAGACCAAGACCAATTCCCTAACTGTTGCAAGACCAAGACCAGAACTGGTAAAAAAAATCGATTTCTTAAATACAAATTAAGCCATTTGGATTAGCAACTATATAGTTACTAATACTTGACAATCTTAGTTACTATATGTTAATAATTGGTATAAACAATATACTTTTGCATTTAACTCCTCTAATTTTTCATTCGGGCTTAGTTAGGTTTCTTCTATCTAAAAAATTATAGTAATATCTCTAGTAATAAGCTAATAAGTAACTATAAGACTGTTGCGAGACTCTTGCGCAAGACCAAGACCATGACCAAGACCGAGTTTGCAAGACCAAAACTCGTCTCGGTCTCGCATTAGGGCGACACTAGAATGGATGGACTTATGAATTTATAATATATTCACAGTTACTCACAAGTACTGGTTCTAGTTATATTTTAAACAGATCTATTTCTTTGTTTTGTTTTTTTAAATTTTACTCCTTTACCATTCCCGTTGATCCGGATCTGAAACTATTACTTTTGGGCTTTGTGTATTTATGAAAATATTATGGGGTAATATGGGAAGGTGCGGTCCTTTCACCAACTTTATTCAACATTTACACTGCTGAAATAATTGGCAAAAATTATATGAAGGCATCCGTAATGGCATATGCAGACGACATTGCTATATACAGTAGCAATATGAACGCATCAAACGCATTAAAACAAGCGGAGCAGACCTGCAATATCATACAAAATAGACTAAAATTATTAAATGTAGAAGTAAGCTCAACAAAAACAGACTGTCTAATCTTTTCGTTAAAAAAAAAATAAAATAACAAAGAATCGCCTAAAACATTTCGAGTTGACAATTCATACAACAAAATATCAAAAAATTCGGTCATATAGCAATTAAACTTGACAGACATCTAAAATTTACCGCTCATTGCACTTTAAAACTATCTAAAGTAAGACAAAAATCCTACAAATTTAGTCACCTCCTCTCAACCCCAAACCTGAGCCTCAGATTAAAATTACTCATTTATAAAAGCATTCTCCGTCCTTATCTTCTCTAATGTGCTCCTCTATTGTCCCACATTTCAGAAAACACAAGCAAGAGACTTCGGCAATTCCAAAATGGAATTTTAAAAAGTCTTGCTAAAAACACGTTATTTAAATAAGAGAAATCTGATAAACTTCATGCCTTGTTATATTAGCCCAATGTAACTGAATTTATAAATAGAACAACAATAAAATTATACGACTCTTTAAAATATTTAACCTACAATGAATTTAATACGCTTAAATTTCCGCCGGTTCCTCGGCAATAGTAAAATATAGATTTTAAGTTAGTTTTGTAAGAATATTATCAAGATAAACGTGCGCCCCAACACTAATCAATCAAAAAATAATGATTAACAGAACTAAGGAATTGCTCTGAAATAGCTTATAAGGTATCTGAGATACAGCACAAGGAACATCAAACAGAGAATAGAAGAAACAAAACATTAATGAAACTGGGGATATAAAAAAAAAAAGATATTCTCTATTTTTCAGTAATGAAAAACATTAAAATTCTATTGATTTTCCAAATTAGCTGCTTTCGTTTATACGAATATTTGATTTTTCCGAAATATTCCATTTTTCTTGGATGTTAAAAACTATCTGCTGTCAATTAACAACGCATCGGCCGAAGAAAAGGATTTCTTTATAGCGTTTCTCCCCACCATTTTATTTGAGTTATTTCTAATAAAAGGTACAAATGTAGATTTCAATTCCAGTATATTATATATTTAGAAAATTTTCCATCAAAGCACTTGAATACATCAATGAGTTTTTAGAGGATATTTCCTTTTTATATTGATGAACTCTCTACTAATTTTTAAATATTATACTTTATTGAGAAAAAAATACATTTTGCCTCAATTAAGGGCACTGAGTATTTAGGATGAATGGAACACAAATATAACTCTATTAATTAAATTTTTTAATAAAAACAAAAAATAGCCGTTATTTAACCTTTGAACTCAATTTTGCCTGACGAAGAATGAAATTGTTTAAGTTAGATCACAAATTACTTCGAATAATAATCTGTGAATTTTCACCATTGTTTAGTTTAATGGCTATTTCTTTTTTTAATGTTTTTTTTTTTTTACTACTTACATAGCTCCTTGGATCGGCCAGTGCCATTATGATTGGGACCCTATCGATAGCGACTTCAAAGCCTAATTGCCTTAATAAGTCCCTCGGTTGTTGCTCCAACACTTTCTTCCGCTTATATAATAGGCTCAACTAGAGAGTGAATTTATTATCCTTTAAGGACCCTTTTTTTCTCTCTTTTTTTCGTCTGTTTCTTTCTGTCCTGGTAGAAAGTGGAAGAGGATTATGGAATGGATGTGGCTACCGTTGCTTGTAAAGAGTGTATTAGTGATGATACCCGCCATGATCCATTTTGTCCTGACAGGGAACTCATTCATCACTCCCGAGCTATCTAATAGATTTGTCGGCAACTTTCTAACCGCTCCTCGGCGAGCTTCAGGCGATCTCGATGGAAGGCGGCTCCTGATAAATGCGTCGTATTTAATTTTATGAAAAATATTTTAAACTGTAAATGACATTTAAATATAACTTTTACTTTTTAGCTCTATTGTATTCAGCTTAATTTATTTTCAAAAATCCTTTCATGCACTCATCAGTTTCCAATGTCGGTTTGCTATTGCCAAATTTTAATATCAGTAAATATCGATTTCATTTATATTTTTTTTTATAAATACGTATCTATATATTTATAATATTAAGTATATAGCTATTTATTAGCTATGTACATTAAATAATATAATATTATGATTACTATATGTATATTCAGTGCCGGCATGAGGGGGGGGGCTTCAGCCCGAAAGCCCTCCCCGTAGATCCGCCCGTGGCACTGTATATATTTGACCACTATTTACTTAGACTCAAGCGAACTCCTCATTCTTTTATTTATACTTTTAAATTCTATAGGAAACTGAATCTGTTGTTCTAGAAACAGTACATGTATAAGTTTTGAATTAAACTTGTTCTGGGTATATTGTTCACAATTTTAACATAAGAAAACAATGTTACATAAGTAGTGTATAAGGACTAATTGTTTGCGCATTTTTTTATTGTAGACTGATAGCTGTAAATATTTTTGGGTGTTTTTTAAAATCATAAATAGGTTACAATGTTTCTGATTTCGTTGTTTTTAATATATTACTCCGTAACAAGCCTGAAGAATGTTTTCGTATTGATTTAATATGGTCTTGCTATCATGTTTTTCGTAATTAAAAATTTAAATATTATGTAGTCGTATGGAGTTGATTGGCCGTAATTATAATTTAAGATGTTTTTCGGAGGTGTGTTCAATATATAATGATTACTCATCAGTCTTCTAACTGCTTCCGGCAGTGCCAGATAAAATGCCTTGAGACCTACAATGTAGGTCGAAACGTTGGCAAACACAATAAAATACTATTATAATATATAATATTATATATTGACAGCACCTCAGACCAACTTCTTCTTAAAATATATATATTACGTATATTAAAATAATTAACTTACATATTTATGTTGTTTTTTTTGTTTTGTTTTAGAAAAACTTTTGAAATCTGAAGGAAGGGAACTTCGAAGAGCGTTGTTTTCCCTGAAGCAAATATTTCAGGTAATTGATTTTAATGCTATCTAATTCCTTTGGTTATTATTCATGGAACAAAATATCTTCATAGAAAGATATGTACCTATAGTATAGCTCACGTTTTATATTCGAATTGATACTATTGCAGGAGGATAAAGATCTGGTGCATGAATTCGTGCAAAATGAAGGACTTTCCACTCTCATCAAAGTAGGCACAGATGCAGATCAAAATTATCAAAACTACATCCTACGAGGTAATTTGATTTTATTTAGTTCATCGAGGTCAATATTTTATTTATGGATATTGAACATATTGAAAATTTATAGAAACCATCCTTATATTTAAGCACTAATAAACTCTATATTTATACAATTATTTAAATATATGCATACCGTTCATATCGTTCTACGAATTCATTATTAAGTGAAGAATTAAACCTTTAAATAATTATTTTTTTATCGGACTAAAACCGCCGTGACACTCTAAGCTTAGTTTATTTAAATTATAAATTGATGATTTTTTTTTTAAGTTTAAACTTTCGAAAATTTCTCGAAGAAAGCTGATAGAAAAAAAAATACGATCGTCCATCGGAAACGTACTGATTTGACGGGAAGAACTAGTCCAGAACAGAGCGATAAGAAGAATCAAGGACCGGTTATTACCCAGAACAATTCTTTGTTCCAAGATCATAATGGATTAAATCCTTCAAGAACTGAGAAAGTTTCGTTTTCACCGAACGACATTGTCTTTATGGTTACGGCAATTCTCATTGATTCTGAATTTAACCTTGGCCTACAAAGTGGTACCAATATTTGTTCAATGTTATATCCAGTGTTCAGTTCTTGGATGGAAGACTATTCACTCTGGTCTATCTTTCTGGGCAAATAGGTACATGCTAGATAATAAGAATATTTAAACAGGACACTTATTTCATTGAATTTCAATTTAATGAATCTTTTTCCGAAAGAAATTTAATACTAGTATTGTAATACTAAATTACAATTATACTCTCATTTTAACTGAGGAATAAGATGAGTAATACAAGGCTAAATGCTCCAGAAATCCTGAGCATTGTCAAGGACCAGGCCTCAATTCTTGACTTAAATAAATTGGCATACAATTTTTTCCATTCAAAGAAAAGATGAGGGCTCTAATAGAGATTACTAGATGTTAATTTATGTTGTAAAAAAATATTCAAGTTGTGATAGTAGATTACTATCGTAGTTGGTGGAGAGGGTGCGGTCATCACAGACACTATTATGATGTAATATTTATTTATAGCCTACATTTTGACCTATGTAATAAGGTCTTCATCAGGACTTGGTCCGATAATGTCAGGAGACTCAAAGGCAAACTGATATGCTGATTGAATTGAGTTTTAAGAGAAGGAGTGGGACCTCAGATTGCAAGGATATATGTGGTTTGGTCTGATAGGAGTTGTCATTGTTTTATTGTATTCTGTAAGGTCCATAATAACAGTTTTGTTACCTTTGCCTATTTTTGTAATGATGGTGTCATCTTGGGTTTTAAGGAAGGAGTGAATAAAAGAAAGTTCTTTAAAAAATTGAGATGAAAAATTAGAAGAAATGGATGGGGGTTTAGGTGTTAAAGAGAATGTTGGTGATAGAGACTCGTGACAACTCCTTATTATTAGTAATATATCTATAATGGAATCATTATAGATATATTCTAAATCAGCTTGAGATAAGTTTGGTGGAGGAGTTAAAAGTAGAAAAAATAGATAAAAACTCTACAAAAATAAATTAAAAATTACTAATTTAATGTAAAATTTTTCGCTAATTTTGTTCTAGCTTTGGGCCAGGTGATGCTGTACGTGGACGGCATGAACGGTGTCATCAACCATCCAGGTACTGTTCAATGGCTCTACGATCTTGTGTCTTCCAAGTTCCGATTGGTTGTCAAAACCGCCCTCAAGCTCTTGTTGGTCTTCGTGGAGTATGCAGATACCAACTGTGTGCTTTTAGTAAAAGCCATACGAGGAGTAGACTACGTTCGTAGTAAGTGTACTTTCTATATGATAAATAACATTAATTTATAGAACCAGCAAATTTTTATGAAAGTAATTAGTTATAGGAATTGACAGAATCATTACTTATTTTTTATTTGGCTAAGAGCTATAGAAAAATATATGTAAAATTTTAGAATTGGTCATTGAAATAAACAAAATAGTATTATTATGCTCTGCCTCCATTCATTGGCCATGAGCTCAGAATTTTTTTAGGTCCTTTTTTCTAAAACAATTGACTGATTTCAATCATAAAATAACTTATTTATATATTTAGCTTGTATATTATACATTCAAAATTATAGTTTACTAATCGGAAACAATTGATTAATTTTTTTCTTCAGCATCAAAACCTTGGAGTAATGTTATGAAGTTGATAAAAGAATGTGATGTTGCGGATACTGAGCTTCTGATCTATGCCATGACTCTAATAAACAAAACTCTCAATGGCATCCCTGATCAGGACATGTACTATGACCAAGTTGATGCGATAGAGGAACAAGGGCTAGAAACCATCATTCGAAAGTAATTTTTTTTATTATTATTTGTATCAATTATTATGATAATAATAACATGTTTTATGATGTTTAGATAATTTTAATGTTTAATCACTTTAATTTAGCTGAATTTCAAATTATTCATTATTTTTGTTTAGTTGAAATGTCTATATTAATGAAAATGCAGCTATAAGTTTTTTTTTTAATATTTGGTTATTATATTCAATAAAATATTGTCTTCTGTATATTGAAACTCCTTTCCAATATCTTAGGTATATGGCAAAGCAGGGGGCAGATTTAGACTTATTGAGACAATTTCAGATTTATGAGGCAGTATTGAGGCACGAGGATGGAGATGAGAAAGGAACACCTCTTCGACAGCTTGATGAATCCATAAGGTGGTTGTTGTTGTTAAATTAGTAATTATTTGCTATATGTAGTATAAGAAAAGATATATTTAACTTAAATAATATGTATTTTCTAATAATTATCTGCTATTGAAATTATAATCATTAAAAAGTTTCATTTGATTGATTTTGTTATATGTTTTGTTTTTAATGGAATATAGTTTCAAAATATTGTTCTGGAAGTTATTGTATTGTTTGAAGGGAAAATTATTTTCCTGATAAAACAATCAAAGATCTAGTCGATAAGTTTCTACAAATTTATATTTCATTATTCTTACAACAGTATCTTGAAATAGGAAAAAATAGTTTACTACTGTATAATTTAATAATTACATTTCTAAAATGATTAATATGTCAATGTCAATCAGCAACAAAACTTTAGCTGTATCATTTTGTTTGTATGTTCATTTGTTTTAAACCTTTCCTAATAAGTTTGATTTTAAATACCATTTCATGGATTCATATTTTAAATAAATTTGTTGCAACTAAATTATCTCAAACCAAAGAATGGAAGATTTATATGTCATTGTGATGATTATCACTTTTGCTATTTTACTATATTGATTGTTTATTTCATTATTATATTACTATAACTAAGAAGAAATCTTCATTTTTATTGATTACTAATAAAATTTATTTTTTTCTCATTGATAACAGAAAAGCAGTGAAGAACCGTAAAAGCTTAACAGGCAGCCTCGACATGGAGAGGCGGAAGTCGAGACGATACTCAACTGGTAACACCCCCCTGACGCTTACCCTCACTCCTACCAGGCTAATTGTCTCTCAAGACACTCAAAGTGATGATACCCTCAATATCAACGGTAAGATTGGCATCGTCATTCAGTCATTCTTATATTGAGCTTAAAGGATTTTCGTTTTGTTTTTTAAACTTAAGTGTGCTTATAAAAAATTGAGTGCTACTTAATTACATCTCTTTTTTGTTAAAATAATTTATGGGCTTTAAGTATATATTTACGAAAGGAAGAAGATGAATCGTGGAAATGTATGCTTGAATAATCCTTGTGATAATTTAAATGTCAATCTCTCTGTTATATAAAAAAATTATAAATTATTTTAAAAAGACAAATATTTTTTATTTCATATTATTTGTCTTCATTTAGGTTTAAAGTAATAAAGAACATTTTTTAATTATATGGTATCTCCAGGTTTATAATTAATTTATTGAGTGCTATTGATTATAATTAATTCTTTTGCATAAATAAATAGAATAAATGAGAGATTTTCCTCAATTATACATGAAGGGTTAGCAAGTAAACCAATCAAATAGGCTTACTAGTGATTTAAAATTATAAAATGTTACTCCATCACAATTTTGACACTAATTTACCTGCTTTCCTCAATTAATAGGTAATTTCATTATACAATGCAGGAATTAGAGAGAGGGCGAGGAGGGGATTTATGCTTTTAGAGGATTATTTGTGTATAGCTTTTAACATCATTCCAGTATTTATGCATGACAGTGACCATTAAAAATATCAATCTTACATCACATTCTCATTCTAATTCATCTTTTTTTATTTATTTTTACTCAACAGTCATTATCAAAGCTGTAAAACAGGCATCATTTTTCTTAGTTTAATGATAGGCTAGATGCAATAAATGAGTTCAGTACTGAGCTTAGGAACTTGCCTAATATTAATATTAATCATTGTCAACATTATTTTAGCTTTACATGGACACAGTTGTCAAAGTCCAACAGATCCCCTTATTAACTAATATTTTTTGAATTCTGAATATCTTCAGTGATCAGTTATTATTAACTGAATTATTTTATTGTATTTGGAAATAATGTGCTCTAGAAGTGAAATCAATATTTGTAACATGAATACCAATATGGGGCTATTAATACTTCTATGAAATTAAGATAATATTTATCATTCTTTTAATTTCAATCAGTTTACAGTTTCTTGACTTAAATGGGTTTTTCTATATTAAATTTTCAACATTTTTGTCATGAATCAAATTTTTATATGATTATTATATAAATAATATTAACTATTTATGCTCAATATCAATCATAAAATTCATTTACTCATTCATAAATAATCCTCATAGCTCTTTACTAAACTAATATAAAAGTGTTTTTTTTTTTTTATGGTTTAATAAAATTTTAAATAACATAATAATTTAACTAATAACCCAAAAGAAAGGTTTTGCTTTATTTGAAAGCGTCTAATGAGCAGAACGCTTATAATTGGCTTGTGTGTTATGAACTAATACGTAGGGGAGAACGGGGTAGGTGTTACTCCTGGATTGAGAAGGAGGAGAGAGAGGGCTGAAAGGCAGAAGAGCTTCATCAGGGAACAGCGAGAGGCAACACTAAGGGCACAACAAAGCAGCTCCGAAGCCTCAAGTGAAGAAGCTAATTCTAGGCCGTCCCGGATACACCATCGTCAATCCCTTCCTGTCCAACCGCCTCCACCACCTCCAGGTATTGTCGTTCTTTTAACAGGACGAGTTCTTCATTGTTTTTATTATATATCTTCTTTATTTTTTCATGCATTTTTCCAAACAGCTGATTGAATAATAGCTAATAATATAAGATCATATACTTAAATCACAATGAGAATATTTGAATTTTTTTTTCAATATTCGGCCATCGCAAAGTCTTTAAATGTCTGGTAGAGTTATTAAAGAACTTAGTAGTGCACCGTAATGTTTCTCTTTTTAGGAACTTTCATCCATTTTTTGAATTATCTTAAAGATAATTGAATGAAATAAATTCAAATGAAAAAAGTATTTAAAATTAAATATTTAATCTGATTTTGTTCAAATTAAGATTGTTTATTTGATTTAAAGTGTCATGATGTCCTTTCAAACATCTCAATTTTAATTTAAAAGTATTGAAACCAAAATTAACTTGTTATTTTAATTTCATAATTTAAATTTCATAGGAATTGAAAACGGCGACAGAAGAATTGAAGGGGAAGACGAAGAAAAATGTAGAGATGGTCTGGTGAGGGATCTTTCCCAGAAATTAGCAAATAATCTTCACAGCCCTGGAGACGAATCCAAATATCCCTTCTCTGATATGAAAGGAATCATTTCTAAAGCCAAAGAAGGTAATTTAATTTTTTTTATTTAAAGATTAGTTTTTCTTTTGATAAATCATTGTGGCAATTTAAAAGTTCTAGAATATATTTTTTCTTTATCTTTTTTTTTTTACAATCTTTTATACCTTTCTTTCTTTTCAATATGCTAAATATCATTGACATTTTAGAGCTTGCCAAGTCCCAATCAAGAGGAGATGCACTGAAGAGTCCAACGACAGAAATGCCTCGACCAGAAATCAAGAAAACTGAAACCGAGTTGCACTGGGAGGAGATGGCCCGATCTTGCACCCGCCTTTTAAAACTGTGCGATTTAGACTTCACAGATCTCGGAAGTGATGAAGAGCGTGATGTTCTAGCGCCAGCAGGTGTAGCGGGGGGTATTCCTCCCCCACCTCCACCTGTGGCCCCTCCCCCTGTCGGTCCACCTCCTCCCATTGAACAGAACAATACAAGCACACTACCTCAAAACAAGAAAACAAAGAAGACTGTGAAATTATTTTGGAAGGTATTTCATTTAAGTTAAACTGCATTGTTTTTTTATATTTATGATTCAGATACATTAATTTATTTAACATCTATATCCAGCTTCAGTTTCAAAGATGTATTTATAAAATTCATTCAGTTATACATATAAAATCATGAAGAATGTAAAGTAAGAATTTTAATAATATAAAAAAAAAAAAATTAAACTCAATGCCCTTTTTCTTGTCAGGAAGTACGAGATGACCCAATCGTCATGACCAAAATGAGCCCTGGCCAACTCCTCTGGGATGAGCTCTTGCCTGTAGTCATAGATACCCAAAAATTAGAACACCTATTTGAATCTCGTGCAAAAGACCTAATCACAAAGGTATAAAAACATTCACTAATTATTTCATAAAGATTGGAACAACAGTTAAATTTCATTAAAAAATGTATAGCAATTATTATCATATTTACCATTTGTTTAATTATATTTCTTTATAGCTATTATATAAAATTATCTGCATAGCATTTGTAGTCACTCATACAATAGATGCTTCCATGCATGATAGATTCAGTTCCAACCTAGAATAAGCAATATTTAGTTAAAATCTTCTATGGAATGAAATCAGTCAAGTTAGAAAAACAGATTCATTATTACTTTAAGAATGCGAATACCAAAAAATAACTGCTCACTAGTGTTGTAAAAAAGATCGGTGAGAAGGCTGTAAGGCTTGAGCCGAAAAGGCTCGAGCTTTCCAACTCAGCCAAGGCTCGAGTCGTTGCTTGAACCTTACTTGTTTTTTGTTTATGAACTTTTTAAATTGTTTTACGATTTTTATAATATAGTAAACTGTTGTACATGATGTTTGTTAGTAATATTTTTAGCCGTACCTTGAATTATAGTTTTAACTGAAGCAAATTCTATTGTTCCCCCTTGTTATTGCTATTTCCCTCTCCAAAAAAAAGGTATCCACCACCTATCCAAACATACCACTCTTTTAAAAAAATTAGGGAGGAGGAGGAAGGGAATGGAGGGGAGGGGTTTTAATTTGATCCCACAAAAAAAAAAAAAAATTAAAGTTGAAAAAGTATCACCCATCTATCCAAACATATTGCTATTTTATAACAAAGAAATTCAGAGAGGGGGGTTAATCTCCCACCCCTAAAAAAAGTTAAACAAAGTAACACTTACCTACCCAATCATATTGCCATTTTATCTTTAAAAAAAAATTGGTGGGGTTAAACTCCCTTCATCCCCTCAAAAAAAATAATGATAAAATGAAGTATCACCCACCTACTCGTAATATATTGCCAAGAGGGGCACCTAAAATTTTTGAAATATATTTGCACTGTTACAAGTAACAGAAAAAATATATTTGTTTACAAAAATGTACAATAATTTAATTTTTTTTTTTAAATAAATTCATCAAGGCTAGAATCCATAAGCCTTCAACTCGAGCTATAGAGGTTCAAGGTTTAAAGATTCTAGAGCCGAACCTTCACGACTCGAGTCAAAGCTCAAGGCTTGCTTTTACAACACTTCTGCTTACCCATGGTTGCCTATAAGTGGAAAAACTAAATGAAACGTACTTCATACCATGCTAATGGCACTTTATATAAACTGACATTAGTCAGTTCTCATTTATTTTAAAAATCTAAGATTGAAAAATTAAATGAATCCCTTTATCATATACTGTTATACTACTATTTTATCTTGTCAAAATAAAATAACACTCATTATTATTCAGGCATCAATCATTATAACTTTAAAGGGTTTAATATTGGCAGATATATATTATAACACATAAATGCCAATACCAAATAAATAAATACCAAAATATTTTTGTTTTTTTTTTAGTCAGGCATTCTTAAGGTACAATTTTTCTGGTACTTCCCCTATCCATCTGTTAATGCTAACCATTGTGCATTTTGATGAAACTCTTCAGCACAGCAGCCAACATCTCATAGTTTAAAATATTTTTAAATGAAAACGTTAGTGCTAAATTTCCATTTGTATCCCAGGGTGGCAGAGATCTGATCTAATCTAATTAATATTTGTCATTTTGCCTGGTATTTTAAGTTGAATAATTTCGCTAGATTATGTCGGTACAATACAACCATTATTTATCTAAAATTTTGGCTGTTAGGCCATCATTGGTTGGTTTATTGGTGTAAAACAAGAGCTCTCATTAGATAGCCATGTTCAATTTAGGAATCCCATATTTCAAGAATTTCAGTTACAATAATAATCATGTCTATTTGATAGGGGAGGTGGGTACCACCGTGGTAGGGCACTGAGCTTCCAAGGCTCAAGATCCGAAGTTCGAATCCTGGCTTATGACCGATAAATTACTTCGTATGTTTCATTAGCCATTGGTCGTCCCTAGAGTCGGGAAATCCTCCTGGGCCACACCCGGCCTCAATAAAGTGGATACCCTTAATCAAATAATTCATTAAGGGGAAAACCTGATGGGTGAGCATGATCTTAGCCAGATGTTGACCAAGAAACTGTACTTTCCCTAAATAGTACTGAACCCGAGACCCTTCATGAAATTTAGTGGGGGTACAGGTTTTTTTTTTTTCTTTAATTGGATAATTAAATTTTAAATATCTGATTTTAAATTTATCACTTATTATTAGTACAACCATTTCAGTAATAATTATATATTTGTAATTAAAGCACAACAGATAATGTTTTATCATTAGGCGATTAGTAAATCTTCACTTTAGTTAATATTCAATGTTTGAATTCGAATATTTTTTTATACTAAATTTTTTTCTATTATTTAATTCATTTAAGTATTTTTGAATTCATTATAGACTTTTACTTTAATTAGATCTAATATTTATTAAATACTCTTGTTACTTCAATCCTAAAAAATGTTTTTTGTTTTTTAATTTTAAAATATTTTTCACTTAATTTTTTCTTAAATGGTAAGAAATGAAAAAAGGAAATGAACTGTAGGAATGTAAACATTATCATCAACACTCTTCTTTTTTGATAACATAATCTAAAATTGTTGTGCAGTCAACTGCTTGACTACTTCTGGAACGTGATTCGAGACAAAAGAATATTGAGATGACATTATACTTAAAGTGTCGAGCAGTATCAACAAAATAGAGTACCAGAGAAATTGTACCTTTATCCAAGTCATAGAAGATTTGAATACACATTAATTATCCTAATATAAATTCCTCATTTACTGTACAGTACCAGTAATTTTTTAAAAAGCCTTTTTTGGAACTTTATTTAATTGATACAAATGGGATCCTCACTCGATATTTTCTGATTTAAGTGGAATTTACTTTTTAATATTTTTCTTATCATAGAGGGTTCCATTTGTTTTTTATCTTTAGTCATTATAAATACAGTTGCTTTAATTATTTGTTATATTTTTTCAATAAATTTACATAATTCATATTACATATTTGTAAACAAAAAAATATTATTAATCTAGAGATTTTAATGCCTTAGTAAATTCATTTTATTCATTAACTGTGTTTACATTGGTATTTTTAAATGTATAGTTCTCCATACATGCTTATCTCATTTCCTGTACAAACTAAAGTAGTCGCCTACCTTCATACTACCGAAGGAAATTTTTTATTACTTTTACTTTCTATTTAATTTCAGCTTTTTAATATAAAAGAAAATGTTTTAACAATTTATGCCTTTCTTGTGTAGTTTTAGCCACTCTTTATACCTGTTTATAAAACTGTTATTATCATGCTATATTTATTATATGTATAATTTCAGACATTACTTTTTCTACTTTTTTTCACATTTATTTTTCTTCTAATATTTGTTGTTGCTGTTTCAAAATAATTTATTATTCATGTGATTTATTTCTTCATGGAAATCTATCATTATGATCAGCTAATTTATCACTATTAATAGTGGGTCTTCTCATGTAAAACTTTTTTTAAAAAATGATAGAATTAATAAATGGTTATTAGTCACAAATTAACATAATTATTCATCATAAATTTACATATACATTAATTTAAAAAAACTATAAGAAAGAAATCTTGGGGACAATGGATAGACCAATTGAAACCTAGTAATATGGTTTGTAAACTGATGTTACCTTACGCAAGATTAGACAAGTGCTACCTGCTTTTACATTGATTTTGTTGTTATTCTTATCCTCATATTATCTAGAACATAATTTTCTATGCAATATCATGTAAAATCACATGTTTAATGTGAAACAATCCAATAATTTATGTACTGTTATTTTTAAAAAAAATCCAGCTTTTGTTAAGTCTATTTCTCTTCATGTCAACTTGTCTTTATTTGCTTTATCAAATTTGTGTATATTATTTTTTTCTATTTTATTAAATTAACTAACATTCTTTGTAAAATAATGCATGATATTCTTAGAGCCTCCGATCTTGTAATATTCGAGCATGTTTTATTCTTAGGTGACACTATGTGCACGAAACATTGATCGTCAATAATTACATTTTTCACTAACACAACATAATTATCAACATACATTTTTATCATTGTTAGTAATTAAAACATTAGATTTAGTTTGTTTTAAAAATTAATATTTAAAATCATTATGTATAATAATTAATATTTAATATTATAAAGAAATAATATAGTATTTTTTGGAAGTTCATGTAAGCACGAATTATTTACAAAACATATTGGATTTATATAATATATGATACGATATAAAATCATATTAGCTAATTATTGAGTTCATATATCCATTATTAAATTTCATTTATTTACATTCATTAAATATTCAAATTACCATAAATATGTCCAAAACTTTCAACATTAAATTAATTAGTCCATTGGCAACGTTGAATGATTATGATTATTTTTTTAAGTCTAGCTATTGATCCAAATAACAAACTTGTCCAAATCATCCAAGTTATTTATTTCCCAGAGTTGTCTTCAATAGAATTACTTTTAATTATTCTCATCTCCTTTTATTTCAAATAACATTTCACAAGAATTGCCAACATATTTCTGCCTTATCTTCTACTTACAGATGTTATGCCTTTCTCACCTGACGAATTAGAGAAAGATTGCTCTTTCTGATTATCATGTCCAGATGATTTGACTGAAACTTTTTTTTAGGTCATTTTATATTACAAATAATTTATTTATTGAATGAGAATTAATGATTACTATTTATTTTCGATTTCCTCTTAAGCTTTTCCCTTATCCCTTTCCGAAGTTGTATGTAGTTTTGAAATTGATGACAAACTTTACAAACAAGTTTGATTTTCAGAACTTCTAAAGATAATAAAAAGGTTAGATCTGGACAATGATCTGCTCATTTTTCTTAGAACAATAAAGTAAAAAAGAGCTTAAAGAAGTAGTAGTTCACTCCTGAAAATAAAAATTAAGCTAACCACCCATTATACACCAGCTCTCAATGCAGTGGACATTGTTTCAGTTAATCAACAGAGATGTTGAGCCATGAATTTAATTCTTGTTTAATGGGAAAAAAACAATACAAAAATCATAAATTTATCAGTTGTTGCTAGATCAAAGATGACAATTTTTTAATACATATACATATATTAGGTGTTATTACCTATTCAGAGTAAAATTGAAGTTTGGCCTCTCCGTAAAGACAAAATTTTTGGCTGTGCTCACATGAACTTATTTGTATATATAATTGTATTTTCAGGCCATCTGCTTCTCACATTTTACTAATATTTGCATTTCTTTTCCCCTCGTTGGCCTGGGTACCCATATGTATAGGAGGTAAGGATCCATATGATAAATTATTAATTTGCTTTCAGTGTCCTTGCATGATTTATGGAATTTGGAACATTCTATTGTGAAGATATTTTTTTTTAAATCAGGCTCACCACAACTTTGCATGGTGTTTCAAATTCAAGCTTCCAATATTTTATTTGCTTTTGTGTTTATAAATGTGGTTCATAAATTTTTTTTTTCAGATATACCGTTTTATTTTATTTATATGGTATATTTTTTGTTTTTATTGATGTTTGGAATGGTTATTGTCTGTAGCTTAAAAGGAAACAAATAATATTTGGTTTCTTTATTGCAGTAGACTACATTTCTTTTCTTCTTTCTTTGTTTGAATCGTAATTTTTTTATTGGAGTTTAAATTTTTTTTTAATTGTGCATTGTTTTTGTTGTTGTTTTTTTCTGTTGAAATCTGTTCTGTAGTTCTGAAATATTATTAAAAGTTTTTATTAATTATCAAAAATTACTACAATGTGTTTATTTAATAGGGTTTTTCTAATTTTTTTTTTTTTTTAATTGAAATACAGTAGAATCCAAATAATGCAAATTCTCAAAGGTCCTAAAATTAATTATGAATTATTGAGTTATACCTAGATTTTCAATAATTGAGATTAAAAAAAAAAATGTTTAAATTCTAGGCTACTACGAACTGATATTTCCTCCCAACTGATTTTTCCACTCACAACATCCAACAGAAACAACCAAATTTTCCCCGCTAAGCTTCTTACATTTTATGTTTTGACTTTTTTTTAAACAATAAAACCAATCACCAATAGTTCGAAACTCAATAATTCCCATCACAAAATTTTAGGTTTTTCCTTTATTCAATGTCAGAAAGACAATTATTCTCTTGTTTTTCAAAAAATATGTTATCATGGATGGAATAAATGAGTATATGTTTGGATACGTCTATTTGTTTTTCATGATCAGTTGTGGCTTTATTGATATCACCTAATGGAAAGAGACTTTATACAACTCAAAGAAAATTTCAAAAGCAAACATCACATTTGTGATAGAAAAAAAAAGTAAACCAATTGAAATTAATAGAATCAGATCTTTTACTCACTCCTTTTAAATTAATTACGAGTTTAATTTTTTATTGGGAAATTTGAATTATAAGAGATTTAAATTATGTTGAAAATGAAAGTAAATATGAATTATTGTGGGAACCAGATTGCATTGTTTCTATACCAATTAAATTGAAGGAAGTTAGTCAACTGTTCTACATAAATAGGACACAGTCATTTTAAGATTTTTATTGTTATTGCCAACATTTCTGCCCAAGCATATGTGGGTCATCGACACAGTATGTTTCCAGGATGGAAGGTGTTTGAGTACTTTTTGGTACTTGGTGCTTGAACACTTTCTGTCCTCGAAACATACCGTGTCGATGACCCAAATGCTTAGGTTGAAACATCTGCAACAACAATATCTTATATCTTATAGATTAAAATCTTAAAATGGCTGTGACCTGACTATTTATCACCTATTATAAACCAATAAAAGAAAGATTTTATTGGAACCTTAAATATGTACAAATTATTTGGGATTCTACTGTATAAATGTTAATGATTTTTTATTTCTGCAATTAATTGAAGGAAACACAGGGATTATAAAATAAATTATTATTATAAGAACCATTAATCTAGTATCAAAGTAGATTAATAATAATATTTTTAAAAAATGAAATACTTTCAATAAGTATCAATGTGTTATTATTATTATTAGAATAATAATAAATAATATTTATTCTACTTAATTGTTTTTTGACAAAATCTATATCTTGCATATCCATAAGTTGCAAATAACAGGGATAAAAAAAGCTCTCTTAAAAAAAAATATCAAATGTTTTTGACCCATTTCAGATTTAAATCTCTTATACCTCCTTCAATTGCTCTTCCAAATAAAATATTTATTCACTGCCTTATTTTACTTTATATTTCAGTTTTTATTATCTTGTATCTATGTACCAATCAAGGATTTAATTTGTTGTGATAAACTATCAAATCCAGTTATTCTTTAACATTTATAGATAGATAATTTTTTGTTTTTGGTTTTTATTTATTTGATTTCTTTTAATGAATGTTATTATAATTTTCTTCTTTTTTTCTATAGAAACAACAGGAGATGAATAAAAACAAGGAAATAATAGTTTTGGATCACAAAAGATCGAATGCCATAAATATAGGAATGACCAAGCTACCTCCACCAAGATCAATCAAAACAGCAATCCTCAAAATGGATGCAACCGTTATGAATAGAGAAGGGATTGAAGTAAGTGACTATATTTGTTTCATTTTTAGAAAGTCTTAATTAATTTTAGTTTTTCTTTTTCATTAATGTTTTAGAACTAGCAATCTCCCTTGAAATTATTTATAAAATTTATTAGTTGCAATTATCGATTTTATAAATCATTGCATCACTTCACAAAACATAATGGATTCATCACAGAATTATTAATCCATGTCTGTATAGTTGGAAGATAGTGGTTGATATTCACAATGGATAATTTGTAGGATCATCTATTTGTTTTCATTCTGTGATATCAGTCATTCTAGACTTATTTTTTAATTTCTTCCAATAATGGTATGGTTTCCAATTCAAATGAAAATTTTTGTGTTCACTATGTAAAAATGTTATATTGATAGTCACTGTGCAAAAGCCATCAAGAACAATTTCATCTGAAATTATGATTTGAACTTTTCTGTTAAATCTTGACCTCATGCACATTCAGAAAAACAAACCAAAAATATTAATTTTGAGATTTCATCTTTGCCTTAAGGTTGCAATAAAACTTGAACAGAGAATCTACCTGTAATACTATAATCCATGGAGGTTATTGGGTTCAATACTTTGTAAATAAAGTACTCTTTATTGGTTGTGTAAGGAGTTGATTTGACTGAGATCATGCTTAATTTATAGATTTTGTCCTTAATTAATTATTTAACTCAGAGTACCTACTTTATAGAAGCTGGGTATTGTATTCTTCGTGTAGTACAGGAAGATTTTCCAATCTAATAGTCAATTCATGGCTGATGTAACAATCATCTGCCAGATCCTGAATCAAACCCAGGACCTGGAACATTGGAGTACATTGAAGTGTCTTATTCACTGATCTACCCCACTCTCTAAATAGAAAATCTAGTTCATTACAAAAAAATGTACACTATTCATCTCCCAATTAGTCTACTAAGAAATATTTAAACATTTTTTTATTTATAGAAACTCCTAACCATGTTACCTACAGAAGAAGAAAGATCAAAAATTCAAGAAGCTCAAGCAGCGAATCCTGATCTTCCTCTAGGAAGTGCTGAGCAATTTCTTTTGACTCTAGCATCTATTTCAGAGCTTCCAGCAAGGCTCAAGTTATGGGCTTTCAAACTGGATTACGAAAATAGTGAAAAGGTAACATAGCATTATATTTAACAGATAAAAAAATAAAGTATCTAAATAAATAATCTTCTTTTATTGTAAACTATTATGTTATAAATTTTAGGAAATAGCAGAAAGGTTAATGGATTTAAAACAAGGTATGGAAACACTCAAAGTCAACAAGACATTCCGGGCTATCCTTGGAACACTTTTATCAATTGGTATCTTTCTCAATGGTTCTGAAGTAAGCAATTTCATTATAATACCTACTTTTTCTTTCTCACATATCTCACCTTTTAAGATATACAGGTTTTTTCTTGGTCAGGGAAGGGGATGGAGAATAATAATCAAAATAATAGTTAAAAGTCTCTGGGACAGGGACTCAAACTCGTAATCTTCGGTTTATCAGGTTGCCAGGCAATTGTTGTTTTGCCCACGCATTTGCCTGCTCAGCCACTCAGTTCTTTATTATAATACTTAGTTGCATTATCAAACAATTTAGACTTTTTATAACAACCTTTAGTTGTTAAGTGCAATTTAAAAAAAAAATCTTATGCTAAATCCAGTGCAGAATAAGAATATGGAAGATAGTAAATTAAAACTGATTTTAAGAGACTTTTGCGATCATAATGTCTTGGGGTATTGACATCAAATTTATATTATTTGTTTTATTTCCAACTTTTTTTTTTTTAATAGCTGTTAAGGTGATATTAAAAGAGGTTTTTTTTATATTGGTCTGATTTATGTTATATAGTCCTTAAAAATGCAGTTATCTTCACAATTGGATACAGTAAATTGATTAACAATAAATTAACTTTTATCTGCATTTATTGAACATCATATCGTGATATAATACAAAATATCGTGATAAAAACTAATACCCAATATTTACTGTGTTAATTTTGGTCTAGAAAATACTAAATAATCGAGAATGGGGAATATCAAGTAGCCGAAGAGGCACATAGATTACAATATTTATACAGACCAAAGTTTTCATTTTTATCAATCAACAAAGTTAACCAAGGAAAATTTGTAACAGCTCTTTAAAATGTTTCATACTTTCCTTTTCCTGCTTCCAGTAAATAAGGACATTGTAAAACCCAGAAACAGCACCAAAAATATCTATTGATATCCAATTCAATCCTAAAGTAGTGTGCATTTGCAGCTTTGATTTTTATAATCAATAAAAAATCAAATTTTTCACAAATATTTGAGTTTAAAAAAGTATCTTAAATTACAATTCTTTGGATATTTGTATTTTTTTTCGGTTATTTACTGTGAACAAGATAATATTTATAAAAATAAATTTTTAGGTAAAAGGATTTCAAATTGAATATCTTGCCAAAGTTCCCGAAGTCAAAGATACAGTACACAAACATACTCTTCTACATCACTTATGCCATATGGTAATGGAAAAGTTTCCAGATGCCACAGATTTATATTCAGAGGTAATATGAACTTTGTATTTATTTCATTTAGTATAGTTATTGATTTCTTCTGTTTATTTTTTTTTAATTAAATGAATAAATAGAAAAAAGTATCCAAAAATGTTCTGTATTTGTTTTAACAGATTGGAGCAGTTACCAGAGCATCAAAAGTAGATTTTGAAGAATTGTCAAGTAATATCCAGAAAATGGAACAAGAATGTAAAGCCTCTTTTGATCACCTTAAAGTAATATCAAAACATGATGGAGCATCTAATATGAAACTAAAGTATGTTAATAGTACTTTTAATATACATTTAAACTGAACCGCGGTATTACTTTTGTCTCAAACCCTGTTATAAAAGATGTAATTGATTAATTAAATATATTGAATTGAGCCTCAAAATCCTTAAGATTTTTTTAGGGCTGTCTCAAAGTTCTACCATCCATCTCTGTCTCTTTTGTATTATCTTGGACGGCTCCCTATGTCCCTCAGGAGATCATGAGGTTCCATTGCAGACTTTTTCAGGTTGTATTGGCATGGGGTCATAGGATGTTCCTACCAATCCCCATTTTCTAATCTTTATTACCCTGTAGAATGGTTATGGCTTTTTCAATTTTCAGAGCTCGACTTTGGAAATAGTTTCCGACTGCTTCACTGTTAAAATATTTTGGGGACTGTTTGTAAAAGTTTTTAGATTTTTTGTCAGCTATTTGGTGACTTTTTATGTCTTGCTTGCCTTTCGAAATTATAGACTATGAAATTCTTGGAGAGTTGAACCTTTGTTCCCTTCCGTCCATATCCATGACCTCAATGCTAGCCAGGGTTGTGAGAAATGCTGGCTACACTTTTCTTCCCCGACTTCACCTCATAGGCTTTATCGTTTTTCTAGAGCTTATTCCTCTTTAAACCAATTTTCCTCGTTCTTTCTGTTCATTTGTATTTATTTTGTTTTGGAAGCATTTATTCTGAAAACAACATTTTGTGCTTGCCATTGTTGGTTCTTAAAGCTTCTCCTTTATGTCTCTGAAACTTGTGAGAATTTTTATTTAGTATAATAAATGATAATTAAAATAAGAAACTTATGTTACAAACATTTCCTTGTACTTTGCTAATGATTTCGGATTTCTACTTTCTCCATTTATTTGAAAAAGCTTTTTTATAAAATATCTATGAATCTTTTCGGTCTCAAGAAATTCAAACCGACTCTTCTTCTTTGAAATGCAATGTTCTGAATTACTTACATTGTAAGCCATACTTTAGAACGAAATAGAAAATACAAAATTGCAGAATATTTCCACCATTTATTATTTAAGGATAATTTTGCCTTAATTATTTCAAAGTTTATGTAAATAGTGTCTTATTTAAAATTTATCAATGGTGTTATACAGCAATATGAAATTTATGTTGTATTTTATTTAATTTTTCAAAGTCATGCTTACTGTCTGGTGTTATTATTTGTTGGAGTAATGAGAGCAAAAAAGGAAATAATTAGAAATTTTCCAAGGACTTTAATCTCAAAAATAGCAGTTAATTATTAACCGCTACATTTTTGTAAATGCAGTCTCTATTAGAATCGAAAACCTGAACATCATATTATGCAAACTTGAAATGATGAAACTACATCCCGCTTCAACAGTTTTATATAGACTAAACCAGGGGTCTCCAAACTACGGTCTGCAAGCACCTTCAGTCCGTCCCACGAGAATTTCTCTGATAACAATGTAAAATTTGAAAAAAAATATTTAAAAATATAAAATTTAGCAAATTACTCACATATGAGGTTACTACAACATGGATTGCATGTTTTTTGTTTTTTTTATCACTAGGCATGGCCCACAGGACATCTGTGAAGGTTTCAATGTGACCCGCAAAATTTAGTTGAGTTCTCAATATGGTCCATGGGCCAAAAGTGTGGTGACCCCTGGACTAACCTAATATAAAAATACAGATAGAACATCAATTTTAAACAATTAATGTAAGGTGCATTACTATAAATAATCATATGTTGTTATTTATTTTCAGAATGTCTGACTTCTTGGCAGATAGTGCTGAAAGGATAATTGTTCTCGGTAAGGTTCATCGAAGGGTGCTTCATAGGTTTCATAAATTCTGCCTCTGGTTAGGAATACCTCTCCATAGAGCAGCCCTCACAAAGCCAAATGAACTTTGTCGAATAATTTCTGAGTTTGCTCTTGAATACCGCACCACTAGAGAGAGAGTTATTCAGCAGCTGGAAAAGAAAGCCAACCATCGGGAGAGAAATAAGACAAGAGGAAAAATGATTACTGAGGTAAGTATTTTGCTGTCATAATAATTTCTTAAATTATTTGAAGCCCCTAAAAGAAAATGGGTATAAGTGACAGAAACTAAGCTTGAAGTAAAGGATATTCAAAGTTAAACCTGTCCTGTAATTGCAATGATTTTTCTACACTTACTGACTTTATTTTGATAAGTCCTATTTCGGAATTTTCTTTATATTTACAGTATTTTCAAAACCTGTGCCTCTGCTGTTAATCCAATAATGAACCTGAATATCAAATATGTTAAAATAAATCAAAACATGAGCATGCTATCTTAAAATCAGTAATATTTTTAAAAACTAGACATAATTTTTTTTTTAATAGAGGAATTCTGAAAGATTCTAATGGAATTATTAATTATTATTATTAATTATTAATCAATAAATTTATTTCTATTAGTTAATCAGTTTATTTCTGAATGACCAATCAATAAATTAATCATTATTGAAAATATAACACATTTTTAATTATTCCTATAAAATTTTCTCAATTGTGGTTTGTATCTCCAAAGCGCAGTTAAAATGTTTTTAGGGGTTAAATTTCTAGATCAGCACTTAATTCTATTTTTTTAAAACATGCACTTAAACCCCTTTACTTCTTGGGTCCTCATATGAAATTAATTTAAAATTCTTTCTTTATAATCTTAATCTCATGATAATAATCTTTAATGATTGGGGTTTAGTAATGAAATACCCTGACAGGCAAAAAATTCCACCCACTTGATTTTTTCATGTTTTCATCTAAAAATATTTCTGCTTTGGATTGGTCTATTGTTTTTAATGAATAAATAGGTAATCTTTTTGTTTGTTTTCAATTAGGAATGTTAATATAGAGAACAATAACTCTTAATCCTTAATTCAATGAAATGATTCTAGATTCCAATGTTTACTTTCTATGGAATCAAAATGTTTATTCAGTACATTAGTTCAGTGCCGTTTCTTGCAGCACATTCCTTAGTCTCCGGCTTTTAATTTCTTCAATATTAAGTTTAAAAATGCCTCTTAATGCTGAGGATGTTGCGCGTGGTGTGGCACTTATTGATGATGGACGTTCCATTAGATATGCAGCTAATGCCATCGGAATTCCATATGAAACTTTACGAGACGCCGTCAGGCGTTTTCGAGAAACTGGTTCTTACAATAGACGGCTAAATTTACAGTTCTTACAATAGACGGCTAGGCCCGGTTCTGGACGGCCTAGGGTAACAGAACCACGGGATGACCGGTTTTTGACTTCGAGAATTTTACGAAACCGGCACCTTACCGTTGTTCCAGCGATTCATCAGCTCGAAGAAGTTCGAGGTGCGCAAATTTCTGAACCTACCGCTCAAAGAAGATTAAATGAGTATGGATTAATGGCTTTTAGCGTCCAGTAAGAGGACCAGAGTTGACCAGAACTCACAGAGTAACATGGCTGGCTTTTGCTCGAGAACACAGCCCAGCCATTGGACTATGGACGAATGGAGTGCTGTACTTTTTATAGATGAATCAAGATTCACTCTTCGATCTCCAGATGGGCATGAAAGGGTGTGGAGAAGAAGAAACGAAAGATATGCAGCCTGTAATTTTTCCCAAAGCCAACCTTTCCAACGTGGTTCCTTAATGGTGTGGGCTGGGATTTCAATGGAGCGCCGCACAGAATTGGTTGCTGTTCGTGGAGGGTCTTTGACGCCCATTGGCTATGTAGATGAGATTTTGGAACCTCATGTGTTGCCTATCCTCAACGAAATCGGCGATCGTTCTATTCTAATGCACGCCCACATGTCACCCGCATAGTGCAGACGTTCCTTCAACAGAACAATATTGAGGTTTTATCCTGGCCAACACGTTCTCCAGATTTGAACTCCATTGAGCATTTAGGGGATAACCTCGGAAGACGAATAAAAGCGCGTGCTACACTTCCTGATACACTGCAGGACCTTGAAAGGGCTCTTCGGAAGGAATGGGCTATCCTCCAACAAAGGGACATTTCCCGACTGGTGGAAAGTATGCCGAGGCGTCTTCAAGAAGTAGTGAAGGCAAGAGGAGGAAACACGCGCTACTAAACGATGATGTAATAAATTTCTTTTAAAATAATAATGGTTCGTTTTTCAATTTTTTTTTTCTCTAATCTTTCTTACCCAACACATTTTGATTATTAAAGGTAAAAAAGATTATAAAATTCCATAAATACTAAGTATTATCTACAAATACCATATATTATATACAAATACAACTTTTTTTACAAGTGGGTGGAATTTTTTGCCTGTCAGTGTATAATGGGGATTTCAATTGCCTTCATTTATCAAGATCAAAACAGCTTCATCCTCTAAATTAGTTTTAAAAAACAAAAACAGGTATTAAGGTATAATAGATTTCTTTTTGAATTATTGTTTGGTACCCAGTAAAAAACATGATGTGTATAAGATAAATCCTCTGAAAATTTTAAGAAGCTACACTACTCAGAATTATGGACTTGCACCTGACAAATATACTTATAAAGCAGGGGTCTCTAAACTTTTTGCTTGTGGACCACATTGAGAGCTTCGTATTTTTAAACAGGTTTTAAAATTTTACCAGGTAATCAAAGAAACTTCCGCGGGCCATATTAAAGGCACTTGCTGGCCACGGTCCATAGTTTGGATACCACTGTTTTAAAGTAATAGTATTGGGACAGTTAAAATTATATTTTTTTAAAAACTTAGTAATAATAAAACTCTAAAGACATAATCAGTGCATAACAGGCAGGTTTGTTTTTTCACAAGTTTCAGTGGAGATGTACATTGGCAGCGATTTTTGGTGGTATTTCCATTATGTTCATTTAGCCTTTGTATTACTGGTATTATTTATGAATTTAAGTTCACATCATCATAATTATGTTATTATTAATTTTAATAAATATATGTTTTACTATTATATTCTTCCTGATTGTATTAATTTCTGTCTGTGTGGGTAGGTTGGCAAATTCCGAAGTCAGGAAGACAGGGCAGATGCTGAACTGAAAGAGCTCCTTGATAAAAGCAACCAAGATAGGGATAAAACAATTCATGGCTCATTACCCTGGCGGAGAACAAGGAAAATTCCAGGTAAATCATCTTTTATTGTACATTACTTACCAATCAAACCTTCTTTTCTCCCCCAGATTTTGCCAATATTTATGTTTCTGTTTATCTTGATATGAATTTTAAGTCTCATTATCATGGCATTATTGTAAAATGTTGTTTACAAGTTTTCTATTAAGATATTTTATGCGGTGAGAGTTTGGTGATAAGTTATTCATGGAAGTTTGAATTTAATTTATCTATAAATAAAACGAACTAATATTTTTTTTATGCTTTCTTTCACCAATCCATTAATTTATAAAATTTTATTTGAAGGTTCTATCAATAAAATTGCACTCATGTACAAATCTTTTCAATATTTATTTTTTCTTGGTCTCTTATAAGGCGTTAAAGTGTACAACTTTTTATTATAAACCATAACAATAGCATTATTTTAAAACTAAATATGACCTTGTAAATACATGTTTTAATTTCTTTTCAATCTTTTTAGTTGGCCATATTTCAAGCCCAACAGATCTGAGTGGACGAACGAACGGAAATCTTAGTGATGCCGACGATGAAATCCTCGAAAGTCTTGTGAAGACTGCAACTAAGACACCTGTCTCAAGGTCCACTACTCCCAGGGAAAGGAAACGGACGAGAAATGCTGATCGTAAGTCGTGTAAGTTTATAGCACTTTGGTAGAATAGCTATGCACAGTAGAAATAGAGTATATATTATTTTTGATGTCGCTCAAAATGGGTTTATATGTTTTCAAGAATAAAAGTTTTCTCTTGTCTATGTTTATTCCAAATACCAAGTAAACACAAAAAATAATTCTAGATTCTCTGTTTTTTATGAATACTTTAAATATTTTCCTTTGCTTGAACTGTTCCAGCTTTATTTATCAGTAACTAAGAAAATTATTTTAAACAAAATAAATCAAATAGTATTTTTTCTTTCTAGATAAGTTGAATGTAGAAAAAGTGTATGCATTATTTTTGCAAGAGTTTGATTTGTGCTTAAGATGATGTAAGATAATGTTATATATTTAGGCCAATTTGTTTTGTCATACAGTAATAAAACGGTCGAGGACAAGAGATAATGTGCCTGCAGGTGGAGGGAGCGTCAGTGAGTCGGGATAGACGTTATTGTATGTATAGCAAAACTCCCGAGTACGGTCTTTTATTTTTTGTTGACGATTTTTCAGTCAAATGTGTTGTTCATAGTTAGCCACATTTCAGTAACCAAAAATTTATTCGTTTGGTTTTTCATAAAACTAACAATAAGATGCATGCAATCCTATTAAACCATTAAAATAATATTGACCTTGTGGAGTACTTAAAATATGTATAGCGTGTATCATATGTACATATATACTTCTTATTTTTTTAATTACCCCATCATATTATGTAAAAGTATGTACTGCTTACCTAGGCAAATACACCATGCTTAACTTGCCCTTTGAATTACTGTAGATATCACAAATAGTTTGGTAAAAATTATGATTTCTGTAAACTGTTTTTTGAAATATAATTGTAATAATATTGGGTTGTCCAGAAAATAATGCAGGATTTTGTTTTAAAAAGAGAAAAGAAAGATTTACAACTGTTTTATTTAATCAAAATATTCTCCACTACTATCAACATATTTCTGTGTGTTGGCAACTTTTCCATTCCCTCGGAATAGAATTTCCCATCTTTAAAATTTATAAACTCTAAAAAAAAATTTCTAATTCTCTTTGTTCATTAAATTTTTTATCATGTATTTTTTTTTTTTTTTATTCTAACAGAGTAACTGCTTGAAGTTTGCCTTTCAAACCTGTTCCATAAAATTGTTAATTCCAGTATTGCCCGTAGACTCCACTATTTTTATTATTTAGTCTTATAACTTCATTAAATAAGGTCCAACAGATATTTTTATTAAATTATTTACTGGAAATATTATCTATGACACATACAAATTTATAAATAATCGGCTTTAATATAGTTGAATAATACAACTTTTTGTCTCCTAGAAAGTTCACCATTTTGGATCCAAAAGGTTATGCTTTCAGGTAGACAGTATGTTTAAAGCAGAGATAGTCAAATGCTGTTCTGAGTACTGAGTACCGGGTTTATTACTCAAATACTGGCCTTTTTAAACAAAAGATTAACTGAAGTAGTGATTGAATTCCAATAGTGATACAATTTGAGTAAACTTCTAGGTGTTCGGTACTCATAGTAGGATTTGCCCATCTCTTGTTCAAAGCAATAATGCTATTTTAATGATTTTTTTTTTTAACTGTGTTGTGGTCATCTGCTTTTGTTACGTTTGGCTACACTAACATTTGAGATATTTTTTGATACTTTAATATTGTGAAACTCCTCATCTCAAGGCTAAAGAAATATAATAATGATAATGCAATTGTGAATTAGGTACCTTTGTACCAATTTATAATTTTTTACATTAATTAATAATTAGACCTAGTGAATCTGGAGAATCAGTTTTGATACCATCAACAATTATTACCTATCTCTTCCCTAATCTAGTGTCCAACATTATTCACTTCTTTCATTCTTCACTTTGTTATTATATCAATTATTTTTATTAAATGTAGATTGTATAATTTCAGTTTAAATTTTATATTAAACTAGTCTTAGGCAAATATATTATATTATACTTTATTTTTCATGATCTTAAGGATTTGTTCTTTACTTGACATAGAGTTTACATTACGTAGCTATAAGGAACTGTGGGGAATGTAATGGACCTTGCATTTATTTCATCAATGAGTAGGAGTTTCACTGTATTAATTGATTTGATAGGCCTTGTCTGTTTTCCAAGTTTTTCTTCACTTACAGTATTTGTCAACTATAATTTTCCAATTTTTTTCAGTGCGACGGACTCTTAGGAATGGTCTTTCAGAAGAAGACAGAAAACATCTTGCAGCTTATATCAAAGGATATTGACTAAAAGGAACATTAGACTGTATATACAATTAGTTTATTTTATATAAAATTTAAGAATATTCCTTTCCTTTCTAAAAATTATCAAAATTTATAGTTCCTAGTCTTCATGGACAATTCTCTCTTAAACGATAGAGTGAGAATAGCTTGAAGAGCGGAGGAGTACATGAAAGGAGAAATGTGCTCATAAATGGGCTGTCGATTAGTTTATCTATTATGTATTTTTTTGTGATAAAGAATTATTATGTTTTTATTGTGTAAATATAACTGATTTCTTTTAATTTTAAGCTTATAATGAAAATGTTGATAGCTGAGATTGTATTTATTGTTGTTGACATTTCTGTTTCTCTTCTGTAATTTTTAATACGAACTGTGAAAATTTCATTGTTTTGTAAATATAATTCTTTCTTTTCATTTAAAAAAAAAAGATTAAAAAATATGCTTGACCATTATAAAGTTGACCTGCATGCGTAAATTTTCATTTTAATAATCCTGTTAAAAAGTTATTAGAATTATTGCATTCCAAAAACAATGCTTTTTAGCAAAAGAAACTCTATCTACATGAGCTCTTTATCTGACAAAATATTGTTTTTCTCTTAATTTATGTGTTTTCTTATATTATGTTCTTGTTCTTTAAATAGAAATTATTTCTTATAAAAAGTAAATTGAGTTGATTTTTATTTTTTATAGCTTTGCTACGCATTTCTAGTGTCATTTTAATCGTGATGACGTGTATAACTAGTCGTGTATTGCAGGTTTTATTAATTTATGATGCGTCAAATTTTTCATCCGTTGTTTTCATTTTAGAGGCTGAGGATAAAGAATAATTAAGTTGTTTTAAGAATGGATTTAGAAGTTGTATAGTCTTTCAATATATATAATTTAAATATTCATGTTTATGGTGTTTTATTAAAACCTAAACCCACCATAACACTTTAAGTTATGTAAAGTAAAGGTAAAAGTAAAGGAAAATAAACAAATAATTTCTTTTGATGCTACAGGAACAGTGGAATGGTGAATGAAGTTGGCAGTATCTTAATGTTTTAATTTGATATATGAAATAGTTTTATAATACTCAAAATAATGCATCAAATAATAGTAGAAATTTTAATTTATAAAAAAAAAAATTAGTGTTAGGTAAATGAAACAGTTATCTCCTTGGTAAATATATATTATGAAATTTCTCATTGTCAACAAAAGGGTTCTTTCTGAGTATACTTTTTCGAGTCCCAATTATTACTCATACTCATTTAGTTCTTCAAAATTTAAAAAAATACTAACATATTTTCCGTAGTGCAAAAGGTTGTATGTAACTTTTTTACATGTATATTTGAAGTCTGCAACTGTTATTAGTAGTCTACTGAATAGGAAATTAGCAGAGAGAAATAATATATGAAATTATACTAATAAATAATGATGAAATGATGGGTTTTTATTCTCTTCTTAAAAAAAAAACTGAATGTTTACATACAGCCTTTTGCACTAACAGTAGCAATATGTTTTTCTCTTACCAACTTGTTTAGTACAAGCCTCTTACAAATCATGTTTAGTAAATTAAAAACATATATATCTATTTTTTTTTCTTTTCGGAAGGCTCTACAGAGCTTGTAGATTTCCAGTTTGTGGCATGAAGCTCAGCCGTATCTTTGTTCATCCTACCTATTTATCTGATTTTTGGCTTCTCATGTGATCTCTTGTCTACTATTCTGGCATTCATTGTTGTGTAAAGGAGTCCTGATGAATTGCTTCGAGCTACATGCCTCACCCATCTCCTTGCCTTCATGTCATGAAATATTGACTGACCAGTTTCTTTTTATTATTATTAATTTGTTAAACAGTGCCTTTAACGGACCTGGACCTCAGAAACAAGCTTCCCTATCGGCAGCTATTCTTCTCCATCTTCTTACTTATACCCATATCACTGAAATCTTCTACGTCGTCAATCCACCACAACCGGGGCCTTCCTCTGAGACATTCTCGTCCTGGGCGGTTATAGATTAGTGTCCTACACAACCTGTCCTCTCCCATTCTTTCTTCATGGCCTAGCCATCTGAGGCGGCACCTTTTGACAGACTACAATATCATCATTATTATACAGCTCATAGAGCTCATCATTCTTAGCCACTGGTCATTTATTTTTTTTGGACCATATATTTTCCTTTAGACTTTTCTTTTCCAAATTGTCAGCAAACTTTCCTACATCAAAACTCATGTTTCACACACATGTAAGTAATGGTTTTATAAGTTATTGCTTTGGCTTTTCAGGTCAGTTCCTTGGATTAAGTATTTTTGCCAGGGTATAAAAAACATATTGCCAGCTATAATTCTAGGCTTTATTTCGGCCTGCATTTTGTTCTCATCAGTCACTATCACTCCGAGATATTGAAATTCTGTTCCCATTGGAAAATGAGTTTCTATTAGCAGTTATTTATTATTCCTTTTTCTCCATGTGTTAAGGTTCTGATCCCAGATAGGTCCTGTTATTGTATAGAGGACTTTTCTTTTGAATCTCAATTCTGCTTTCTAGAGTGCCGTTTGGAGCCCAGGTTATAATGTATAATGTATAACTAGTCGTGTATTGCAGGTTTTATTAATTTATGATGCGTCAAATTTTTCATCCATTGTTTTCATTTTAGAGGCTGAGGATAAAGAATAAATAAGTTGTTTTAAGAATGGATTTAGAAGTTGTATAGTCTTTCAATATATATAATTTAAATATTCATGTTTATGGTGTTTTATTAAAACCTAAACCCACCATAACACTTTAAGTTATGTAAAGTAGATGATGTAAAGCAGAGCTGGCTTTATCATGGCATTGTATACCCTTAGTTTGAGAAATCCTGGATTTCAGTACCCTTGAAAGAGAGAAGAAAGCTCTGTTTGCACTTTTTATTCGCTGGCCTATCTCTGTCAATTGATCACTTATTGAGGTTATTGTGGAGCCGAGGTATTTGAATCTATCTATTTTCTGAAATGACATAGAGTCCACACAGATCATGTATTAGGTTGGATATTTCGACTATCATATATTTTGTTTTATCTTCATTGACTATATTGGGTGTTTTGTAATTGCACGGCACTATTTTAGGTATGTGTTCACTAGCACAAAATAAACAAAAAAGTTCATATTAACATATATCTCTAACTCATTTATTAAACAGATATCAAAGGGTTAAGATTTATTATTCTTATAACATTTAGAGTAACTGTTCAAAGGGGCCTCCGTTTTGTTGAATGCAAAATTCAGCACGACGAATTCATGCTTCTCTGGCTCTTCGTATAGCATTTGGATGGTGCTTGATAGTTACTGCGGCTTCCACGACCCGATTTCTTAGCTCTTCTTCCGTGCCTACTGCCACAGAATAAACCATAGACTTCATCCAGCCCCTCACAAAATAATCTAATGGCGTTAAATCCGGAGATCATGGTAGGCGTTTAACAGGTCCATTTCAACCAACCCATCGGTCTCCATAAGTTGCATTTAAATAGTCAGTGACACTATTAGAAAAGTGAGCTGGAGCACCGTCATGCATAAACCACAGCCTTTGCCAAATGACTAGCGGAATATCTTCTAGAAGTTCATGAAGATTATTTTGCAAAAAATGCAAGTAAGATATACCTGACAGCCTAGGTGGCAAAAAGAAGGGGCCGATGATGTCACTTAAGCCGACACCAGGCATTTAAAGAAAAGGTATGTTGGTAATGTGCAATGTGCAACAGCAGTCATATGAGGGTTTTCTTCAGGGTAAGCCCAAGTATGGGTATTTCGAAGATTAAGAATCCAGTATCTATAAGTTCAAAAATGTAATTTCTAGTTATGCAAGATTCATCAGTAACCAAATTGCAGTTCAGGAAGTTAGGATCTGGTATGCATTGTCGATTTAACCACTGGAAGAAATTTCTGCGCTTGTTATAATCTTGTGGTAACAAATCTTGCCTACTCGATACGTGAAATGGATACAATTGTTGTTCGCGTAAAGTTCACCATACGCTGGTAGAGGAAATATCGAAACAATGTGACAATCTTCTGGTATTAGTAGTAGTAGATAACTGAACAGCATTGAGTACTTCTTCTTCAACGTTTTCAGTTTGTCGGCCGGTATTTACTCGTATAGGTTTTAGCGTGCCATTATCCCTAAAGCGTCTTTCAATGACCTCAAACGTTTTACAGTTTGGTATTCTTCGGTTAGGAAATTTTTCATGATGTCTTTGAACAGCAGCAGCACCTTCATATTTACCTCGTTTCTATGTACCTCGCCATAAGTTGAGAGCATGTTGTTTGTTCTTTAAAAATGAATAATATATACAATCAGGCGGGGAACCCAAATCCCTGCGCTACTCTCTCAACCGCCTCACCGGTGCTAAAGCCGGTGGAGTTTGAGGGAGAGCGCTTTAGCCACATACATTCATGTCTTGAGTGGAGAATCTGGCCATTGCCAAAACTCCAAAATAAATACTATAAAAGATTTCTAGGCCACTGCCGCTTCAACCTTCGAGGAGGGTTGTAGGGATGAGTGGAACTAGATAGGGATTGGGCTAGGGGATTTGGATGATTGATAAGGTTCTGATGGAATTTTGAAAATTTTTCAGGGATAAGGTCAAGGACAAATGGGATATTAAGATCATGATGTAGGGTTTTGTTGGTTACATAGAACGGAGCATCGACTATTGTTCGGAGGACTTTGGATTGAAAGCGTTTGATGTTAGAGAATTTTGCTGTCCCCCAAAGTTCAAGTCCGTAGGTCCAAATAGGTTTCAGGATTGTCTTGTAGATCAGTAATTTGTAGTCAATTGAAAGTTGAGATTTTCTGGTCAGTAGTCTGTATAATTGGCCGTATCGTCGGTTAAGTTCTTGTCTTTTAAGTCTAGTATGTGGGTTCCACGTTAGTCTTCGGTCTATGATAAAGCCAAGATACCGGACTGTGTCTGAAAAAGGAAGCTGGATGGAATTAAAGTGGACTGATGGAAAGGATCTGCGGCGGAGTGTGAAGGTAATGTATTTGCATTTGAATTCGTTTATTTTGGTTCGCCATTTATTACACCAGTGCTCAATCATGGAGAGGTGCCTTTGCAGATTTAAAGATGCTATTTCGGGATCTGAGTTGGATGATAGGATGGCGGTGTCATCAGCAAATGTTGCCAGGAAGGTATTGGGATGGACAGGGATAACGACGGTAAAAAGGATATAAAGGACGGGGCCCATGACGCTACCTTGAGGAACACCGGCTTCAACTGGGTAGGAGTCGGAAAATTCTGAACCACAGCGAACCCGAAAGGTACAATCAGAGAGGTAGGAGCGGAGGATTTGGTACAAGGGCTGGGGTAGATAGGTTTTCAGCTTAGAAAGAAGCCCGGCATGCCATACCCGGTCAAAAGCTTGAGCTATGTCCAGAAAAGCACCCGAGCAATATTGCTTGCTTTTCAGTGCTGCAGAAATGTGATCAACCACTCGGAGTCCTTGTTGGACTGTGGAGTGTTGTGAGCGAAATCCTTATTGATAGGAAGGAAGATTTTGGGATTCTATAAAAGGTAGGATTCGTTTCAGGAAGAACTTTTCAAAGATTTTGGAGAGGATTGGAAGTAGGCTAACTGGTCTGTAGGACATAAAGGTGTTGGGAGATTTGCCTAGTTTCGGAAACAGGATAATAGTGGAATGTTTCCACAAAAGAGGAAAATGGGTGGTTCTAAGGATGGTATTATATAAGTAAGTGAGAAATATAACAGCTTTAGGAGGAACTTGTCGAAGGATTTGAGAGGTAAGGAGGTTGTATCCAGGAGATTTACGGAGAGGAAGTTTTTATAAGTGATGTTTGACCTCAGAAGGATTAATTGCTTTAGGGGGTAAGGAAAGTGGAATGGGTGATGTAAGGAATTCTTCTACTGTTATGGTATGGATGGGGTTGGATTCCGGAAGTGAGGTGAATGTTCTGGAGAGGTGTCTGGCGAATTCCTCAGCTTTGTCTTCATCAGACACTGCCCAGGAGCCATCGCATCGACGGAGGGGATGGGAAATATGATGGGATTTAAGGATTTTGTTGGTGATCTTCCATAGAGAATTGTCGTGAACAGAGAGAGAAGTAAAGTAGGAGTTGAAGGATTGGGATTTGAAGATGGCCAATTCCTGCTTTAATTGTTTAGTGAAATAATTATAAGAGCGACGATCAGTGGGGTGTCTTGAACGTTGCCATAATATTCGGGCATGGCGTTTGATATGAATTAGATCTAGCAGGTGCTGAGGTAAATTATTTTTCATAGGAATTTTCGAGGAGAAATTTGAAGAGGAAGCAGTCCAGATTGCTTGCTGAATAGTGGTGGTAAAGGAATTTACGGCATTATCGAGATCTTCTGGGCTTTTCAGGGTTATTCTGAGTTCAATTTTATCGGAAAGGATTTGATGAAAGAGTTTCCAGTTAACTGGGCCTCTGATGAAGGACGGTGAAGGGGGTTTAGGAATAGGAGATATTGATAATTGAAGTATTAATGGACTATGATCTGAGGAAAGTTCGTCAAGACGGGTAAGGGAATGATTGAGGGGACCTAAACCACTGTGGATGAAAAAATCAAGGATATCAGGATTGCGGTTAGGATCAGTGGGCCAGTAGGTTGGTGAGTTGGGTGGAAGGAGACTGAAACGTTGGGTATTGAGTGCAGACAGAAATGTTCTGCCACGAGAATTCGTGGTTCTTGAACCTCAAACTTAATGCTTGGCATTTAAGTCTGCACCCAGGATGAAATGATGACCTAAGGAGTTGAGGAGAGAACTGAACTGGACTTTGGATATGGATCTGTTAGGAGGGCAATATGCTGATGCAAGGGTGACTGGAAAGGAGAAGGTTTTGATTACAATAGCGGTTGACTGTAGGAAATCTTGAGTAGGTAATGGGAGTAAGTGATGGGAGAGGGATTGGTGTACGATGACAGCAGTACCGGCATGTGCTCTGCCATCAGGATGGTCAGTACGGTATGTTGTGTACTGATTGTATATATTGTATATAGGTGTGACTGTTTTTATGTTTTTAATTTACTTGTATTTAGGTTATTTTATTATTTTTTTATTGTATATAGTTTTGTTTATTATTATTTAGTTATTATTTTACTTTTGTTAATTTTATTTTTTATTTTTTGTATATACGGTGTGAATGTGTTCATTTATCAATATAATTATTGTCCCTGTGACAGAATATTATATATCTAAATAAATAAAAAAAAAAATGAATAAATTTATGGTGTCTCCCATGATAATCATAAATTGAAATGTGTCACAGCATTCATTCACACTAAAACACACAGAACAAGACAAACATGAGCAACTACTGTCATTGCTTATCGTTCATTTGTTTATCAGGTGATTAAAACTTGTTATTTAGTATTAAACTTTGTACAGTCAGTCTTAATGTATTAAATAAATAATAAATCTTTAACCTTCGATATCTGTTTAATAAATGAATTTGAGATATATGTAAATATGAATTTTTTTGTTTATTTAGTGTTAATGAACACATACCTAAAATAGTGCCGTGCAATTACGAAACACCCTGTATATATATATATACAGGGTGTTTCGTAATTGCACGGCACTATTTTAGGTATGTGTTCATTAACACTAAATAAACAAAAAAATTCATATTTACATATATCTCAAATTCATTTATTAAACAGATATCGAAGGTTAAAGATTTATTATTTATTTAATACATTAAGACTGACTGTACAAAGTTTAATACTAAATAACAAGTTTTAATCACCTGATAAACAAATGAACGATAAGCAATGACAGTAGTTGCTCATGTTTGTCTTGTTCTGTGTGTTTTAGTGTGAATGAATGCTGTGACACATTTCAATTTATGATTATCATGGGAGACACCATAAATTTATTCATTTTTTTTTTTATTTATTTAGATATATAATATTCTGTCACAGGGACAATAATTATATTGATAAATGAACACATTCACACCGTATATACAAAAAATAAAAAATAAAATTAACAAAAGTAAAATAATAACTAAATAATAATAAACAAAACTATATACAATAAAAAAATAATAAAATAACCTAAATACAAGTAAATTAAAAACATAAAAACAGTCACACCTATATACAATATATACAATCAGTACACAACATACCGTACTGACCATCCTGATGGCAGAGCACATGCCGGTACTGCTGTCATCGTACACCAATCCCTCTCCCATCACTTACTCCCATTACCTACTCAAGATTTCCTACAGTCAACCGCTATTGTAATATATATATATATATATATATATATTAAATTTTAAAGCAGCATGTGCACATGTATTCTGAAAATTAAGCGAGATTTATAACATAACAATTTTCAATAAATAAATATTTTCAAGATATTTAAACCAAATCAAATCAAAATAATTATGATAGGAATATATATTATGTTTAATAGAATAACTAAAAAGGGTGTAAAAGGCACAATCAATTTTAAATAAGCCACATAGGAATTCATTTTATTTTTAGAAATAAGTGCAGTTAAATAAATTTAAAAAAAAATTAACATTTCATTATCTCTCAGGCTTTGAATATCAAATTCCATCATCATAAAGCATTAGTATAGATAAATATGATGAAATAATTGAAAAAATCATTTAATAATACTAAAAATCATAAAAATTGCTTTTGCATTGAGCAAAAGAAAAGCAGGTCGCCATGATTTTTTTTTTTCATTTTACAAATTACAATAATGAGATAATTTTATATATAATATTTACAAATTGTTTACAATACAGAGGTTACAGTGATCTTAATATAATATTGCATTTGTTTCATAAAAATACCGCAGCGGTACTTATAATATATATCTACAACGAATTATTAATAATGGTAAGACATTTTCATCACAGTGTCACATTCGGTCAAGATAGACTTAAAAATAACAACAACTTTAGATAACAATCTGAGATATATAATTTAATTTATTTGACTATGATGTGAGAAAAATCTGTTAGCTAAGAATCGGGTCACTATAACTATTTGTACTAAATGTTAAATCAGTTAGTAAATCTGAAAGAAAAGATGTCAACGAGGGTGAGTCGTAATAAATAATTTGTTATCTTTTCGACGAGCTAGCCTTCCCTTCTATGTATGCGAGCCTTCTTCTTCGAATCTCAGCTGCATCTACGACACCTAGCAAAAATAAAACAACTTAGGGTTAAAATTGTTATCACAAATTGAATGTTCATGCCAATTCTCACCCAAGTTTATAATAATGAATTATAAGCTGATTTTGAAGAAAAGATGCCATTTAAAAATTTAACTAAGAGCAGTTTATAAATAAATATAGACATAATTATTATCTAGTATTTCATGTATGATTAAATTTAAGTCCTATTCATGTAAATTTCATCTTAGTCAAACAAACAAATAAGTTAAATGTGGAATTACAAAATAAATTTGATTAATGACCTATATGGTTATAGAAATATAGACCTATATTCTCAATCTTGTAAAAAATCATAAAAACAACATTGCCTCTGTGATTGCTAGTAAGAGATATTATTATTATATATTGGGGATAAAAGGTAAGTTTTAAATGCGAAGATAGGGGCTTAATTGTGTGAAAATGGTAGCAAATTGATTACTACAACCAGTCACTTCTTTATCCTATCGTTATAGCAGCATACAAAATCCACGATGACTAATCTTTGGAGGTAGCCTAAGAATGAATCTATTTTCTGCATTCCTTCTACTAAGAAAAATGCTACTCAGACCGATTCATTAATAGAAACAGACATCGAAAGGAGCAATGTTTGGAGACTATGGTAGGAGGTTTAGAACATCCAATGGGCTTCCTTATATGTTTTTACTAGCAGTGCAACATGTAGTTAAGCACTGTCAGGGTATAAAATCAATCTGTTGTGCCTCTTCTAATATATATTACAAATATACAGACATAGGATAGAATATATTCTGTCCATTTTTCCTTCAATGCCTAGCTCAAATATCATGGAATTTGACATCGCTCCAAAAATACAGCACGTTTTTATTTTTGATTGTTCTTCCATTTTATTTTAAACTAGAACTTTTTCTTATGGGACTTTTTAATAAAATTTTCTATAGATCTTTTATATATATATATATATATATATATATATATATATATATATATATATATTTTTTTTTTTTCAAGTTTTGTAAAAGCTATTAATTTTATGAGGCATGTCCATAAAGTAAAAGTACTCAAACATTTTTTTAAATTTTATTTTAAACAAATTACAAGATATTTTAGGTATATACGTTATTTGTTTTTCCATCTAATTGATTGCCTTCCCATTCTACGCAGGTTGTAAGTCATGGCAGAAGCTTTTTGATGCTCCTCTCATAGAACTCTCCCGTCATCTCCTCCATTCACTTCAAGACCTCTTGTGTTACCTCCTTATCGGATCTCCCTCACTCCTCAAATTCTTACCGACACTCCTCAATCTTCTCCTGAACAACTCACCTATCTCATTCCATATTTCCGTAAAAAAACAAGGTGTTACTTTTGATCAAACTCTTTCCTGGAAACCACACATCTCCCAAATTTCTTGCCGCACTATCTTTACCCTGAAACAGTTCAACCGTCTGCACTATCTCCTTTTATACAAGTCCCGTAAACTCCTGGTTTCCTCTCTAGTGTTCCCCCACTTTGACTATGGCTGTCTGGTGTACGGCGGACTCTAGTGAGAATTCGAGGCCAGACTTTAACGCTTAATGATTTGCGCAATATGTTTTGTTTGCAGAATCTCAAGAGATACGCATATAACCCAATCCAATATAATCCAACCGCCTTATGTACTTCTTTCCTACCTTTCTATACCAGATCATAAGAACTCAGCGACTCTCCTATATTTTTCATAGCCTACAATTTAAATACTCTCTATACTCGAACTGCTGCATTTGACAAATCCTTTGTAATCCAAGCTGTCTCCCTCTGGAATTCGATCTCTCCTGATAGACATGTACAATCAGCTTCCTCTTGCAAACCTCTTCTCTTTAAACACCTACTCCTTTCCCAATCAGACTGTCTATGAAATGTACCTAAGAGAACTCTTTAAGTACCCCTGGAAACTATTCCGCTTTACTTATGTTATTCTAGTTTCTGATGTTTGTTTTATATATATGTATGTTTTTTTTCTCTCTCTCTTTTTCTCTTTCTACCTATATTTTTATTTTTAATCAACTTTTACTGTAATCAACTTTTTTAATACTTAATTTATGTATGACCTCATTTTTACCCAGTACTTCTAATTTTTTCTAAGGAGAAACAGTCCCAGAATAATAGAAAATATTTTCATTTCGTGTGAAACTTCAGAAAGGTGAAAAGATGAAGATGCCAAATCAGAGGAGTATGGATGCATGGTTCAACATGTCTCAACTAAACAAGATCAAAAGATCAAAACAAGATCAAGCCGTGGCGTCGGCCTGAGTGGGCAGGCGTTGTTCAACAAACACACACTCCCTTCATAAAAAATTCCCTCCAACTCCCAACTCCATTTAAATATGTCTATTCAGTTCATAGCACTTTTGCCATATACAATTTTGATCCATGCAAAAATTTCCATCAGTTTTTTCTTCTTTGAGAATGAACCTTATGATGGTTAACTCCTCACACTTGGCAGTATTTATTATTATCACAGAAATGGACACTATGAGTTTTGATACTGAAGTGGATCGTCTGTGATCGTTGTGTGCAGAAGAGCACCTCTACCACCACTCACGATTGCCAACTTTTGAAAAAAAAAATTCTCTTAGCACAACAACTGAACGGAATTCTTACGTTATAGAGATGGCATATGCTAAAAAAAAAAAAAAAAATAATAATATATATATATATATTTTATATCCTCGCGCGGGCACATTACCGCGTATGGGGAGCGTCCCACAGGTGGCGGATGTGGAGATGGTCGGTGGAAATTCCTCCCGGCTAAGTCCGATGGACTCGCTGACCAACAATGAGAGGGGCCCTCCAGACTTACTGGAGGGAGGGGACCTCCAGACTTGCTGGAGGTAGGGGCCCACCAGACTTGCTGGAGGGTGTGACGTAGGATTGAACGCCCTACTCACATATCTTTGGTTCACCAAACACCACAAATAGTCATGGATCTCCCTAAGGTAAAACGCTCATTATCCGGAGGTAAACTAGTCCCCCGTTCGGGTCTCCGGGTGGGGACTGCTTTAGGGGATTTATGGCGCAAGTTGAAATATAGGGATTTAAATATTGGTACGTGGAACGTAAGGAGTTTAAACACAGCAGGGGGACTAAAATCGGTCGCAAATGAGGTAAATGGGTACAATTTGGATGACGTGGCTCTGCAAGAGGTTCGCTGGCCAGGGGAGGGCTCGATGAGGAAAGGAAAGTACACTATTTGGTACGGAGGAAGTGGGAATCATTGTTTAGGTACCGGGTTTCTAATTAGGAGTAGATTACTATCCCCTTTGAAGGACGTACAATTCTTTAGTGATAGAATTTCGGTAGCTATATTTCAGGGACGTTGGTTTAAAATCGCATTAATAAACATACATTGTCCGACCGAAGACTGTGATGATGAAGTCAAAAGTGAATTTTACGATAAACTTGAATGGGTTTATGATAAACTACTGCGAAACTACATGAAAATAATTGAAGGTGACGCGAACGTAAAGGTAGGAAGGGAAGAAGTTTATATTCCGACGATTGGTAAAGAAAGTTTGCACGAATATAGTAATGATAATGGGATCCGTCTGATAAACTTTGCCATCTCGAAAAACCTGATAATTAAAAGTACGACGTTTAAACATAAGGATATTCATAAATATACTTGGACATCACCGGATTCGCAAACACGAAATCAAATCGACCATGTCTTGATACAACACATCTGGCAAAGCAGTATAATTAATATACCGTCTTATAGCGGAGCAGAATGTGGGTCGGATCATGAATTAGTAATCGCGAAACTTCGACAAAAACTTAATATAAAAAAGAGAAAAGAAAACCGTTTCGATTTTGAGAATTTTAATTTGGAAAATTAAAAAATCCATCAATTAGAAACCAATTCGAACTAGATGTTAAGAATAGGTTTGAAGCTTTAGAGCTTCCTGACGAGGATATTGACAAGTTATGGGTAGAGATCAGGGATAATATTAAAGCGGTCGGTAACTCGTGTCTAGGAAAAAAGGAAAATAAGAATAACAAACCATGGTTTGATGAAGATTGCTTAAACATGTGCGAAAAAAGAAAAGCCGCTAAATTAAAAGCTCTAAATAATCCTAGTGAAGACAATCTGGAATACTTCCGAACCTCAAAGAATGAAACGACAAAATTGCTCAAAAATAAAAAAAGGGAGTATCTTAAAAATAAAATAATTGAAATAGAAACTAATAGAATCGAAAATAACGTAAGAGACATGTACAAAGGTATAAACCGATCACGTAAATGTGTAGGGTCCGTAACGTCTGGCATTAGGGATGATAATAACAATATTCTGACCGATCCGGTTGACATATTGAATAAGTTTAAGGACCACTTTGACAATATTTTAAATACTGGAAATTATGATCTGTGTCCTCCTGAGTACCAGAGTGCTGAACCGTTAATAGAAGGACCAAGTAAAGAGAAAGTTGAAGTAGCTATCAGAAAATTAAAATCATATAAAGCAGCGGGAACCGATAATATTCCTACTGAACTAATTAAGGCATGCGGGGAAGCTGGAGTTTCTAAAATACATCGGTTGGTTAAAAAGATCTAGGTGAACGAGAAATTATCTGAAGAATGGAAAGAATCTATTCTTATTCCGATTCACAAAAAGGGTCCGAGGACGGATTGTAATAACTATCGAGGAATTTCACTCCTTCCGGTATGTTATAAAATATTCACTTTAATCTTAACCAGTCGAATCACGGAATACGCCGAGGAAATTATTGGAGACTACCAATGCAGATTTAGACGGAATCGTTTGACTATTGATCAAATATTTTCTTTACGGCAAATATTAGAGAAAAAATTGGAGTATAACGGTATTGTTCACCAGCTGTATATAGATTTTAAAAAGGCTTACGATTCTATTGACCGCCAGAAACTGTATAATATTCTAATCGAGCAGGGGATTCCAAAAGAACTAGTAAATCTAGTCAGGATGTGCTTGACGGAGACACTCAATAAAGTTAGAATCGGTAATAATTTGTCCGAAAAATTTGAGGTTCGTTCAGGGTTAAAACAGAGGGATTCTCTTTCGCCTGTCCTGTTCAATTTGGCATTAGAACATGCCATTAGGGAGGTAATGCGAACCGAGAAAGGGTTGGATCTGGGCGGGACAACATCCGTGCTGGGCTATGCTGATGATCTGGTACTGTTAAGCGAAGACGTTGAAACTATAAAACTAAATACGACAATGTTAATGAAAGCCGGTAAAGAACTAGGACTCGAAATAAACGTGGATAAAACAAAGTATATGGTTAGCTGCAAAAATGGCGATATTACTAATGATATCGATATAGATGGTAATATGTTTGAACAGGTAGATAAATTTAGGTATCTAGGTTCTACGATAACTAGAAACTACGAAATTGAAGAAGAGATTAAGGTTAGACTGAAGGCGGGAAATGCTTGTTATTTTTCTGTGACAAAACTACTTAGTTCGCGCCTCTTGTCCCAGAACTTAAAAATTAGAATCTATAAAACAATTATCTTGCCTACAGTTCTTTATGGATGTGAAACTTGGCCGCTTACATTAAGGGATGAGCAGCGTCTTAAGGTTTTTGAAAATAAAGTATTGCGTAGAATATTTGGACCGAAGAAGGATGAGTTAACCGGAGAATTCAGACGGTTACACAACACCGAATTGCGTGAGCTGTACCCGGGTAATATAATTGAGGTAATTTCATCGCGGCGAATCAAATGGGCTTGTAAAGTTGTTGGGCTTACTAACGAGAGAATTCCTAAAAGGTTAATATTTGCTGTGCCGAATGGTAAGCGTCCGAGGGACAGACCGAAGCGAAGGTGGGAAGATTATATTAAAGCCGATTTGAAGGGATTGGGTTTGGACGGCGAACGGTGGAGGGAGGTGTGTAACAAGCGATTGGTGGTGTCGGCATCGAACCTTCGGGTTTGCTAAGCCTTTTATTATTATTATTATATTTCATATAATATATATAAGATATATATATATATATATATATATATATATATATATATATATTTCAGTTTTTTTATTTGATTAGCTCAGAATTCACTATCTAATTTCAAAATTTTTTTTTTTCTTTTTTTGATACATATAATTAAAAGTTAAATTCTTACTACAAAACCCAGAATTTAATTACAAAAAGTTCCTTGAAAACTTTCTTTAATTTTTTTTAAATAAAAAAATTCCTTGAAAACTGTTGAAATGGAACTCCTTTAAAAAATTCCAAACCCTATAAAAAAAACATGCATCACTAAAACGATAGGAAAAGCCTACCTTCCATAGGCGTAGTAGAGTTGTTCACAGCTTTAGGCTGCACATTTTGACGCCCCTCAATTTTTATAGGAATATTAACAACCTTAGGCTCACTCACCACCCTTTCTTTTAAAAGAAAGAAAATAGAATAAAACATTATTGCTTAAAATTTGTTAATGATAAGCCAATTTAAATCTATACAATCACACGAATTTATGGCATCTAATAAAGCATACATAAAGTTATTTAGTTACTTTCTTGTACCTTCTGATCGGACAGACGGGATATTCGTAACCGTCGAATGGTTCATATCTTGTCGTCCTTCAATTTGAATAGGTATATTTACAACCCGCGGCTTCCTTAGTATTGTTCCCTCAGGCGGTAGGTCTTGGCCTTCTAAACTAAGTTTAATAGCACCTTGCAGTTCTTCACTGTCTTCGATACTACTCTCAAAACTGCAAAAAAAAAAAAAAAAATCATTTAGATAACATAAACAATAATATGCAATTCAATAATTTGTTTAATAAATAATAAAAATTGATTCAATTCAGTAGCAATATAAAGACACTGATGTGGGTAATGGATGGAAAGCTGCAGTGGGTACAGCCTTCTTCAACCTCAAAAGATGAGCAGCTAATGGTATATAACCGGAATGAGGAGGCTTGGGCGAAAATTTTACTCAAGACAGATGAAACTTTATAAGCTTTGCTAGCAGTAGTGAGAGGTTATGCAGGTTATAACATCATACTACTGCAAACACCCATATTACCTAAAAGGCAACTTAGGGTTTAAATTAATAAATATTTATTAATAAATGGAATGAGTCAAAATGATTTTTAAAAAAATTGTGTATTTTTTATTTTAACTGCAAATTAGGTTTTTAAAAGGACTTGATATAAACAAAATAAAATAAATCTTTAAATATAAAATGAATGAATATTTTATTAAAAGCCAAATAAAATTATTTATATATATAGACCAATTTACGAAAAATTCAACAAATACAAAAGAAGTACCAGTAAGAAACAATAGCCATAGTATAGTTGGAACAAACATTTATTCACTTGAAGAAACTAATACATAATAGAGAAAAATTAAATATAAGCAAAATCTATTTTACCAGTTTATAAAGAAAATGGAGGCAAAGCCTGACAGATCAAATAATAATTTACTCTTGATCGAGAATCAACTATCTTAATTCTCGAGTTTACAAACCATATTGTGATGGGAATTTTCAATGTAATACTTTATTTTCAAAATATCATAAGTCGTTCTACACCTTATTAAAGCAACCATACTTTGAAAACACAATCAATGCTAGTAAGTATAACAGCTTTTAACTTTTAAGGTTTGGGAAAGAAGATAAGTAAGTTATCAACTACAAAATAACAAATACTTTTCAGTCAATACCACCATCGGGTACATCTTACATTCTAATCTAAAAGAATCTACCCTATTCTTCAATTTTGTCGGTTTCTAATTAATTGTTACATGAAAAAAAATTGAGAATTTTCGTTTTTATTTATTTTTAATTTAAGATACTTACTTTGTTCTTGACATTATAATAATTAGAACTATACAAAGAATTTATTAGGCCACTCACCAATGCCATTCCAAAATAAGTATAATTTTCTTATACTAAAGCATTTTAACGATAAGTGAAATATTGTAATACAGTATTTGACAAACATGAATAATTTTAAGACAGATCTAGTATCTAGATTTAAATACTAAATACTACTAGACAAATTTTGTCCTTGGTTATCAACTAATTGCACAGATATAAAAAATATTTCATCATGAAGATGAATGGCAGCCTTCACTCAGAAATTAAACACCAAGTAAGGTAATAAAATGGTTTATAATATTTTCTAAGTTTTGGCAAAAGTTGCAGGCCTTCATCAGGGTTAAAATAAACAAATATACAAAATGAAAAGAAAAGATAAGAGTAAATAATAAGGATTGCATGGTGTAGCTTGAAAAAATATATATTATATATAATTAAAAATATATAAAACCGTAAGCGATATGAAAAATGTGTATACATAAATTATGAAAATACAATACATAAAAATAAGGAGGTTATAGAAGAGAAAAGAATATTAAGTGGAATATTAATAAAGGGTAAATATAATATAATCATAAATTGTCATATAAAAAGGAAGGAGATATAAAAAGAAACATAAAAGAAAAAAAGAAAGAAGGGCATAATGAATAAGAGAAGACAAACGAGAAATACAAAAATCTTATTTGATTTGATGAAAGAGGGCGGATGTATGAAAAGCCAATTTTAAATAACCACATAGCAGCAACTAAGGAGAACAGAATAATCTAAATCCCAACCAGTCTGGTTTCCGGCTTGGCTACTCCACTCAGTCTGCCTTCATCAAAATTTCCTAAGACCTTTATACAGCCATGGACCAGTAGAAACTCACCATCCTTATTCTTCTAACCAAGCTTTAAAATATCTCCTTTTCTACTAACGCCCTTAATTGGTTCCAATCCTTCCTTATCGGCCGCTCCCAGTATGTTGAAGTTCTCAATAACCCCCATCAGAATCTTTACCCTTGTCCAGAGGTGTTCCACAAGGCTCCTCCTTATCACCCACCCTTTTTTCCATCTAAATCAATGAACTCCCCTCCTCTATCCTACACTGTCAACACTCTATCCTACCGACGACGTCCAGATCAACCATGTAAGATGTTTTAGATTTTTTAATTGTAATTGCTTAACTGACAAGTTCCATTTCAATTTTTTTTTTTTTTTTTGTATGTTTATTTTATTTCTACGTGCCAGACTAATGTACATATTTCTAGAACTTTGTCATTAATTCATTCCATTAAGACAAATTTTGACACAGATGAAAACGGTATATTTCATTATTGGGTCTCTTATTTCTGACCGGATCTCCAATCAGGTTGTTCTTGATCTCATTTAGGATCAAAATTATCCAAATATTATAAATATTTATCTTAAAAACACATTAATTAATAAACAAATGTTAAGGATAGCAGCATTTTATTATGGTTAACACACATATAATGTTATTGTTGTAACTGTGTAATCGTTATTTTAACCAAACAATTCCATAAAATATTGAATGTACAGTGAACTCCAGCTAATTAGAAATAATCAAAGGATTAATAATATTAAAAAAAAAAGGACTAGCTGATGAGCAATATATACATAGTTGTTTAATCTTAAAACATCTTTTTACCGACTATATACTGGGATTTTAAAACTATTTCTTTCTAATGCTCACGGCACCTTCTATGATAGGAAACAACAAAATTAATAACTCATACAGTGTTATTTGAGGCATCATCATCATATTCTCTAATCTAGTATCGCCTATGCAGTGTGAGGAGGAAGTCTATAGAGCTTTCTCCAGCTCTGCCGGTCTTCCACCAAACTCCTCCTCTTATTCCATTGGAGTCTTCTTATCAGGAAATCCTTCTTTACTTCGTTGTCCCATTTATTTCTTGGTTGACCTGTTTCTCTCTTCCTATCACCTTGGCTTGATAGACCTCTCTAGCAATTCTGTTAGGTTCCATTCTTAGGAGATGTCCCAGCCATCTTAGTCTGTTATCTTCTATAACTTCATAGTCTAGTTTAAGTTTGAGGCTTGCTCCAATTGTAGTGTTGCGGATTCGGTTTCTTCTTGTTTTTCCCTAAATTTTTCTGAGAAATCTCATTTCTGACGCATGTATTCTTGATTGATGCTTTTTTTTTAGCGTCGATGATTCCGAGGAATATGTCAGAATTGGGAGAAACATTGATCTAAACACAGCCACTTTGTTCTTCTTGTCCACCTCTCGCCTGTTCAGGAAGCCACTTTTGACCGCTTCAAACATTCTGCCAGCACTTACCATCCTCTCAGTAACTTCCATATCAATATACCCATTTTCATTGAGGTGCAAGGTATTTCAAGTTTTTCACTTGTTCAAGGACCATGTCTTCAACTCTAATGACACACACAATTCTTCATGGCTTCTTCTCTATTCTCTTTATTTTTGTTTTTGTAGGGTTTATGGCCATGTTGATCTTAAGCAGTTCTTCTTGTAACCTGTTGATGTTGTGTTGGATGTTCCTGTCGTCTTCTGCGAAAATAACAATGTCATCGGCAAATGCAAGAAGTGATTATTTTACTGGTCTTAGATTGGCATATCCTTGGTGGAATTTCCTTATATATATATATATATATATATATATATTCCTTGGTCCTCCGAATAGCTGCATCCATAACTAAAATGAACAGTAGTAGACTCAAACTAAAACCTTGCCAAATTCCTGTAGTGGTTTCGATTTCTTGAAATGTACAGTTGGCAAACCTTACAACGCTTCTTGTTTTCTTGTACAAACTTTTCACCGCCAGTATATGTCCTTGATCTACTCCCTTATCTCTCAAGGCCTCCAAGATATTTATCTTCCTTACTCAGTCAAAGACTTTTATAAGACCAACAAAGCATACTGCAAGTTCCTTATCTTTTTTTAACACTTTTTTCAAAGACCTGTCTTGAGACATATACTATCAAAAATAGTTTAAAAACCTTGCCAATGATAGAATAAAAAGTGACTAACGTCAGCCCTCTATGAGGCTTTGAATCTAGTAGAGCAATTTATTTTTTCGGTAAATATTAACTATAGTTATACGATAAACTTTTAAAAAATGAAGTTATACCCTTTGATAGAAAGTAGGGTCATAACAATTAATAAAATGATATAGTGTCAACAATTTTTATTTACTTTTTTTAAATGATAATTTTTCTATAATCTATTCTAACTAAAATAGAAAATACTAATAAAATATAAGGAGCTAAAAAAATTATTTTAAAATTTAAATAATAAAATTAAAAAATGTCTGGATCCCCATAAATCAGTTTTTAGCATCATCGATAAGCTAAGACAATTATGATTAAAATTTAAATGAGTTTTAAGTAACATTTCATAAAATAATTTGTTATAAATAACATTATTATTCTATAAAATTCTCTTCTTGTAGATCACAAACAGCTTTTCCTTTCATATTATTTTACAAAATGACTGGAATGAGAGCTAATGGTACATATCCCTTTCTGTTAAAAATTGACAATTTTTTTTTCCGAAGGAGTTTAGATCAATTTGAACAAAAAATCTTTTGGCAGCTGATAAAGAACATCCAAACTTTTAGACATTAATCAAATTTAAAAAAGAAAAAATTATCATTTTTTAAAAGTAAAAACCTTATTTAAAATGTACTAAAATCAGTTAATTATCTCAACCGAAATGAAGTATGACATGCAAAAGCCTTAAAAAAATAAGTTAAAAAACTGATTAAAAAGTGAATTTTTAAATTAACAATATATTTCATTTGAGAAAGTGTAAATTGGATAGTAATGTGACTGTGTTAAATTTTTTAAGGCCAACCTTTCGGGATTTTTTTCTTTACTGGAACCTGGATCTCCACCTACAAACATATAGATCATTTTTAAAACAATGCGTTAACACCACAATGTAGGAAATATTTTAAGATCATACACAAAGTAAATTGCATGGCTTTAATAAATTATTATTTTAAATGATAATATACCTTGCCTTTCACTTTCGATATAATAAGATAAGAATTATTTAATTTGTAATAAAACAAAATAAATTAGGACAAACAATTATAGTATTGGAGGCCATCAGCTGGTTATCTAGGTGGTATTTATTAATAATAAAAAATACATAGAGCGGTATGTACAGCAACAAATTCTCTAATAGGTCAACAAGTCTTGATCGTACACAATATATCTTCCTCCACCAAAACAGCAGACAATAACTAAATCTATGTAACCAACCTAAGCACGATCCATTTATCCATCTTCAAGTTTATCCTTTAAACAACGACACCTCAATTTAGTTGTGATTATCTAACATATGATTTGTTTTTTGTTCAGCCCAATAACAATGTTGATAACCACAATGTAATTAACTCAATTATGTTTGTTAGGTTGGGCCATTTTATATTGTGAACTTCACCTCTATTCTTTATTAATTCTTAACTTATTTCCCTTCATGGCAAATATTTCATATACTATATTTTGGGGAAAAAATGAGGTATTATTATTTTCTTAATGTAATTAAGTGGACTCATTTCATATATCTGCACAGAAAAGTAGGTAACATAAAAGTCTAACTCTATGGACTCGCCCCATGCCCTGCACCGCATCAAGAATAAAATAAACACATAATTCCCTAAGAGACTGGCCACCGTACCTAGCACCCATCCTCATACCTTATCTCGCAACAGCCAAGGAATTAATTTGTCAATTACTTTAGCCTAGACCTTCATGCATCAAGACCTCACAATGGTGAGAAATCTTTCTATATTATCTCATTTTCACAACAACCAGTCATAATTGGATTTATTGTTTATTTATATTAATAATATCAATAAATATTGTGTTTATGATAAAAAATATAAAACAATTACATGAGAGGGAATGGTTGACAATATATTTTAAATACATTGGGTCAAGTGGTATAAAAATAAGAATTAAAAAAAAAAATTATAGATCCTAATTGCTGGCAATGTACAGCAACGGTACACACAAGCTTCTGCAACATTAAATTACAAAAAAATGTTCATATTCCTTTCTTTCGAGTAGAAAAAAAGGCAAATATGGCTAAAAATAAGTAATCGTATTTTTAATATAATTATTAAGTATTATAAGTATTAAGGTAGTTTAGGTGAAAAAAAATCATTTATAAAAGAACAGTTTTAAAAATAAAAAAATATATTAAGTAAAAAAACAACCTAATATTACTTAAGAACATTGCAAATTTAACATTAATTAAGTTTTTAGATCACTGGACAACGAATATATAAACCACTTTATTTTAAAAGGCATCCATACAAAAAATATATCAATCAATGGTCAACCACACATAAGTTATAAGTGCAAATTTTATTATAATTATTTATTTAATAAATTTTTTTTCACAGCTACCATAAAATAAAACATCACCATCTCCATGAAAAATTTCATTGGGGAAATTCGCAAATGCAATTTTGACACTATGGCAGGCAATTAATCAATCTCGTAATAAAATAAAATTAGTATGAAAACAACTTTAAAGCTTAATGGCAAACCTAATTAGTTAGGATTTCAGGCTCAGGGACATGGGGGCTTTACCACACTGAAATTCATTGAATTTCTTGTTTATGTGTTAAAAATTATTTTCAATATAAAAAAATTGTCTTTTATATGTTCTAATTTTTTTTTAGTACATAAAGTTTCTTTGTTGACTCAATATGGACTACAAGAAGTAAATATTCTCCAAATAGGTAAAATAAAAGATGAAACAAAATTGTCAGGAATTTCAGTCAAAATTTCTTTAATGGATTAGCCGACAATTTGATGGATTGAAATATTGGCTAACCCATTAAAAAAGAAATTTTGACTGAAATTCCTGGCAATTTTGTTTAATTCTTATAATTCATCAGTCGACTACTTACCCATCTCTAAAATAAAATATGCTAGATTTACTGTTAAATTGTAAAAAAAAAAAAAAGCAAAATACAAAATTAAGAAGAGTTTATAAGGCATAGAAAAAATATGTAAATATGTATAAATCCTGCCTCTAATAATAAATATTAATTTTCCATTCAATACATACATTTAACAGGGAGAAACCTTCATTGTAAAGTTTGGAGAGATGTTAGGGTCGGTGCGTCAACGTGGCCAGATGTGGGGTAAGGGTCTATGGATTAAGGTTGGTGTGTGGTGCAGTGCGAGATTCAATGCGTAGGGTGGTGTGAGGTGCAGTGCGTAAGGTGGTGCGAGGTGCAGTACGACAGGAAATGAGAGGTGCAGTGCGAGAAATACTGGGAGAGGAAGTATGAAGTGCTCTGCGATAGGAAGTATGATGTGCAATGCAAGAGGAAGTGTGATATGCATTATGAGAGGAAGTGCGAGGTGCACTGCGAGAGGTAATTGGAGAGGAAGGGCTAGGTGCAGTGCGAGAGGAAGTGAAAGATACAGCATGAGAGGAAGCACGAGGTGCTTTATGAGGTGCAGGACGAGAGGAAGTGCAAGATGCTGTATGAAAGGAAGTGCAAGGTACAGTTCGAGAGAAAGTACGAGGTGCAGTTTGAGAGGAAGTACGAGGTGCAGTTTGAGAGGAAGTGCGAGGTACAGTTCGAGAGAAAGTACGAGGTGTAGTTTGAGAGGAAGTGCGAGGTACAGTTTGAGAGAAAGTACGAGGTGCAGTTTGAGAGGAAGTGCGAGGTACAGTTCGAGAGAAAGTACGAGGTGCAGTTTGAGAGGAAGTGCGAGGTACAGTTCGAGAGAAAGTACAAGGTGCAGTTTGAGAGGAAGCGAAAGGTGCAGTGTGGGATGCATGGGCGTTGCATTGGGTATTGCGGCTATCATCTTGGATTTTGTTTCTTTTAGATATTGTACATCTATCTACAAATTCAAACATGTTTCTTTTAGAACCATATTTTTATTATATCAAAACTTATTTTTCGAAGTAATTCATTACCATAGCCTATAAGCACAATTTAATTTAGGAGTACCCAAATCTAGGCAGGCAAGCTATAATGTTGCAAACTGGGAGTTCAGAATTGGCATGTGGCCAGACAATAGGTATTTGAATTTTTCATACTTCATTTTTTTTTTAGAAGGAGTTGGTCACCGGGTGCGGTCAAATGAATACTATATATCAAAATAGTAATTTATTTATAATTAATTTTATAATAATTAAAATACTATTTTGATATATAGCATTCATTTCACCGCACTCCCTGACCAACTCCTTCTTATATTATCATCACAGTCAACCATCTCTACACTTTCATTTTTATTATTTAAAAAAATAAAACTAGTTTTTTTTCAGAAATAAAAATTTATTTTAGACTCCCCATATTTGTGATATGTATAAATAACAAAATTACTATCCCATTACATACATTTTATTTATAAATGAAAGGTATTACCTCTTTTAAATATATAGCTGATTTTAAATACTAGTAGGCCCATGCGAAAAATTTGCATAACATATTGTTATCAAATGCCAGATTAATAATAAAATAAAATAATGTAACCTATTAAAAGATAAAGAAATCAAATGTTTATCGATAAATATATATATATCGATAAATATTTTATATTATCGATAAATATATATAATCGACAAAGAAAACAAAAATTAATTTAAATCTTCATTTTTGTTTGAAACCAACATGTTTACAAATTTCAGTAAGCTGTATCTTTGCTAAAAATTGTCCGATTTCAATGACTTTTTTTTTTCATTATGTAGGGAATTTAGTAATCTTTTATATAATCATGGGCCTAACCAAGGGAAAAGTTTGTAATTTTTTAGTTATTCGCAAATAAAGTTTGCTTCTTTTATAACTTGTTTGCCTGAATTTTCGGGGTGATTGGACTATTTTGTCCTCCTGAAAGAGAAGGAAGCCTTCGAAATTGGTGGCTCAATCTTGAGATTTGGTGAAAAATTGATGATGATATGGCTTGCCGATCAAAAACACCATCAATAAATAATATAAACTCCTCCTCTCTCGATCATAGAAACCTCAAGTCGACGAAATGAGTCATGTATTCAATGACAGTACTACAATTAATGTAAGGTTATGTGGATGCGAACTCTATGCCTTGCGTTATCTCGAAAATAGTACGTTTTTGGGCTTAAAAACGCAGGATCCGATAGTTCCGGAGGAACTATCCGGGTCTTGCTGTACGCATCAAAATCTTCAAGATCCAATTTGTCCCGTATCGATCTACAGACCTACCACTGTTCAGGTATTGAAGCCTAGCAAAATGTTTGTATCGACTTTATTTATTTTAGAAAGAAAAACAAAAGTGGAGAATACAATTCACTAATCCCCCATGAAATTCTGAATCCAACGGTGCCCTATTCATGGTATTTGAGCACGACAGGAGCTTATATTTGGTACAAAACCGATTTCGAGCCTTACTGTAATAATATGGATATGTGCTCAAAACATATAAAAAGAGAAAATATTTTTTAAAACAAGTGAATTTATGGTATGAAATAGAAATAATTATTGTGATGGGACAGGTACTGTGAGAGATACAGAATTGGATCAAGCCTCAATATGCGACAATTTTTATCACATAATAGTAGTATCTAAAACCTCGCTAAAATCTTTTATTCTTTCCTCACAGATTTCTCTACTCAATTACTCATTCTTATGTCATGACAGATCTGATCGCACGGGAGGTGGTGTCAGATTATATATCCATGATAGTCTTAAGGCCAAAATCCACCTATCGTCTCCTTCTCATGACTTTTCTCACATAAAATACATGTTGAAATTTTCTCTATTTGCTCTTCTCTGTTATTTTCAATAGTTTACCTCCCTCCTCATGTTCCATTCGACAACCTCTTTGAATCCTCCCTAGTCAACCTGGTTTCCAATTACACCAATATTATCATCATCAGTGATTTAAATGTGGATATGCTTTCACTATCTCCCTCAAAATAATTCCTTAATGACCTGCTGTTTTTCCTTAATCTTTATCTTGTTGCTTATTCTGTTTATGTTAAACCTGCTGCTTACATCAAAATCCTTTCCTCTTCTCAACATCCCATTTCATTTCTTTCATCACATGACTTGATCCAAATTGCACACAACCTACCCATGAAAAGTGGCTTAATCCTTCCTAACGTCGTATTTCCTTGCATCCTTACTCTTCCAAGTCATCCAATCTCATCGTCCTTCATAAATCTCCAAGCTCCTTCAATTCAAGTCCTCTGTTCATTCCAGCAATAATCGATTTCAGGCTTCATATTTATATACAAGGGGATCCACAGAACCGCTACTTTCGACAGATCGTTATCTGAAAAATTATCCAATCCTTATCCCTATAGAACTCCATCCCTCCCTACATCCATCGCTCCAATGTCCTCCCTACCTTTAAATCCAATACCTGCCTGTTCAATCATTTCTTATCCATCCAGTTCCCATAGAATTGTAAATAGATATTACTTTAAATATGTATATAAATTATTAGATCTTTCTAGATTATTTTTCCTTCATGTTTCATGTTTATTTTATGTTTATTCTTCCTAAATTGATGAAAGTCAGAAAGCAACTTATAATTTTTTTTTATTGTGACTATTTATTTATTTTTTATGTATCTCTGAGGTTCCGTTGGGTACCCCTGGTTTAACTGAATTGCTTGTGCATGATGATACCAAATCATTGATACGGCCAAGCATAGGTACTTTATTATTGCCTAGAGCTGAATCTTCAATAACAATCACTTTTCTAAATTAAATATAATTCAGAACTATGTAAGTTAACTACATAGAGTTGTGATTTTAAATAATTAAAAATTGTAAATCATTATTAAGGCATATCATTGTTAAATACACTATACAAAGTTTTTGCAGTTCTGTTGAATAAAACATTTCAATTTTGGTCCGAGAAAATTTTGGGTAAATACAAGCATGGTTTTAGACCAAGTAAATCAACTATAAACCACATTTTCTCGATAAAGCAAATGTTGGAAAACAAAAGGAGAGTACCAAGTAGACCTATATCAAATTTTTATAGAACAGGCTCATAATAGTATAAACCCAAACACCAGTACCACTAGGAACCCATGAAGGGTTATGGGTTCAGTACAATAAGAGGAAGTACTGTTACAAGGTCAACAGTTGTGCAGGGAGTTGATGGGCCAATATCACACTTAACCGCCAGGTTTTTCCCCTTAATTAATCATTTAATTAAGACTACCCAATTTATAGAGGTTGGGTTTGCCCCAGGAGGGTCTCCCGGCCACAGAATCGTCCCACAGCTGATGAAAAATTACTAGTCATCAGCTGGATTCGAACCTGGGACCTTTAGCTCTGGAAGTCAGTGCTCATCCACTGAGCTACCCCGCTCCCCTATGATAGTATAAACAAGGAAAAATTACTTAATGCAATGATAAAATTAGGAATACCAAAAAAAATTATCACTTTGACAAGATTGACTGAAAACAGTAGCAGATCAATTGTGAATATGGACAATGGAGAATTCATATCATTAAAGAGCTGTATGTGAGGCCGATTTGGTCTCAATTGCGAAGTGTAATCAGTTCAGAAAGCTAGGCCATGTGACACGCATACCTATAGACATGATTCTCAAAGGCTTGCTTGAGGATCGACCTGGTAGAAAACATGAAAGAGGAAGACCACACTTCAGATGACCAGACGGGATTGAGAATATTCTGAAAAAGATGGAAATCCGAAAATGGCGAATGCTCACCCAGGATAGAGCAGAGTGCAGGAAGATCATAAAAGAAGCCCAGGTTATTGCAGGATTGTAGCACCAAGAATAAATAAATTATTATTATTAATAACTAGGAGGGTACCCATTGTTTGCCTAACTGCGGACCAACCTCCATCTTCCAAATTATACAACTGTTTATTTAATTACACTACAAGTTGCTTGCATTGTATAACTGTAATATGCATGTATTCTGTAGTTCAGATTGTATTATTTTTTATCAACATAAAATAAACAGGACGAAGCCGCACATTTGGACAAATTAATAATTTCTTTAAAAATTTATATTATAGATAGCGCCTTATTACTAATTCATATTATTGTGTAATTATAATTATTCTTATTGCCAATTTGTAACCATAATATATACTCAAATTGTTGTACAGCCTTTTATCTATATTTTCATTGCACGTTATATTGTGCTTCCTTTTCTATTTCATAATAATTATGATGAAATGTTTAGATAGAAAAATAACTGCTGTCATCAAGGTAAAATCAAACTATCACCTCTAAATGAATTTCAACTGAAATTAGTAATTAATATTTAATTATTAAGTTTGATGTCTTTCTGCGAAAGCTTGCAATAATGTACTAAAATGAATTTTTATATGAAAAATAAAATGTTACAGTCACTAAAAACTTTTTTATGTAATAGAGAGATTAATAAATTGTTTAATTTCTTGTTGTTATTTATTCTATTTTTAATATATATATCAGTTCGGTATTTGACAAATCTAAAAATTGGAAAAGATATGAAAAGAGTTACACCAGATTCCATTAATATTAATGAAAACTATTTTTAAAAAAAGGTTTTCAGTAATATTAATGGTTATGAAAAAAAATAATACCTGCTTGCTGAGAGGGATCCAGTTGAAGACTGAGCTTAATAGCATGGTCCAGAGAGGGATCTTGTGTTTCTTCACGCAGGCTAAGTTCTATAGCAGCTTGTAAATCTTCTTCGTCCTTATCAACAGGCATACCAAGGCTGAGCCTGCAAGAAATGAGAAAATACAACTTGTATGATACTTAACCAGTATAAGATAAATTGAAAGACTCGGAACTGGACAATTCAATCTCATAGAAAAAGGAATGGGAAAATTTAATTAGCACATGCAAACTTGTACTTAAGAATAATGCTACTAAAGCCAAAGATAACATCAAAACAATAGTTTTAACATTTTCTTTTTAATTACTTGATCGCTTTTTCTAATTCGAATTCCTGCTGAGTTTTTACAGGTGTTTTCTTGGGCAAAGGTTTAGGTACCTTCACAGCCGGAAATTTTTTGAGCTCCTCATCAGCAGGACAATCAGGAAGACTTCCTATCACAATAAATATTGAGTAACCTGTAAGATAATGTTACAATGAAAAAACAAAATCACAAGCTGTTTCTTCATTATAAATAAACACGATTATGTCATCTCTTAACAAAATAAAGATAGAGATAGGGTACATTTTTTTGAAAATTATTGATATATAACAATAGTGATTAAAAATAATAGCAGGATTCAGCAAAATGGAAAATTTTATGTCAATACATCACATCAGAAGGCTCCATTAAATCCAAAATTGGAAGGAGATCAAGCTGTATTCTCATTAATCAATTCAAATTAACTTTACATAAAATTTTTTATCACATTATGGTACAGGAAGGCCTTGCATTTCCAATCAATCTAATAATTATTTTATTATTATCTTTTTCTTGCCAATAACACAAATTTACTTTTTTACAAAGTACCAAGTGGCATGATCATAACTACAGTTCAATGCTTACATCGCTCTGTCTTAGTTACCTTGTCACCTATTTATTTCTCTAAATACTGCCACTATAAATTGTAAACAGTGAGTTTGTGAACATTTGAGCACATTCATAGTGAAATAGTGAAGGGAAATTCTTTTATTAACAATTAAATAGTAATAACTGATAGCACTTTAATAGAGACAGCACAGCTGCTAGATAATCCCTCTTGGGGGATAGAAATAGGCTTTTCAGAAATAAGCAAAACAGAATTGCAATATTTGAAAAGAATTAGGAATTGGGAGACACTAAGGCCTACTGCCATCATCATACCAGATGTGCTGGTCCACATCCATCTGACATTTAACAGAAACTAAGGCAAGAGTCTGCGACATATGCTCTTTGTAGTGGAGGTCACCCTGCGAGATACAGAGGCTACGAAGGGTATAAAATCTCCACAAACAGAGATCATGTAACATAGTGATGAAAAGCCTTAGACCAGATCAGAAGAATTGCACCAAGTTAACTAAAATTGAAAAAAAATTTCCATAATTTCTTCACCTCAACAGGATTCAAGAAATTCTCAGCTTCAATCTATCATCAAGAAACAGAAGCCTCAACATCAGTATTCAGACCTCCGGATCCAAGCCTAAAGCCTTTGATTCTCAGCCTCAACCTTCATATCTCTTAATCCTCTCCCCACCCCATCATCTACCCTTAAATGTCACACTCCTGCCAGAATATTCACATACTGTTCCATCTTTTTTTTTGTGAGTCCTCCTCTTCCTCACCTTTTAGGGGGTGAGGGTGGAGATTGAGTTAAAAGCTACCGGCGGACGCGAACTTGTAATTATTTTATCTAATTATCTTTGATCCAGATTGCAGCGCAACGCGTGGTACTGTGAACACACATTAGCCCTCTCCTCAATACATTTTTTTTTTTTTTTTTGTTCTTCCTTACCTCGCCTTTTAGGCTATACGGGATTTCCCCAGGCCGGAGGGTGAGGGCAGGGAATTTAAAATCTCCTCCAGCACCGGGACGCGAACTTGTACTTATTTTTGTCTCTCAAAACTTCATATATCTGGTTGCTGAGCAACTAGCGGTGCTGTGCACACGCTTTAGCCCATTCGGCCACCCCGCCCCTTCTTTCTTCTCAATACATCTGTTCCTAATCTTCTGCTAAACCCTTTATCACTAGTTCCACAGAATTTAGATCCAACACCTTGTAATCCAGGTCGGACAAATCTCCCTATCAACAATCTCATTCATATCAACAATCGTAGGTGTCTGAAAAGAAGATGGCCTCGTGATCTTTTTACTTACAACTATTTAAGCAGTGCCTAAATATTTTTTACAATCCTCAACACAAAACATATTATGATGTTAGCCCTATTTTGGCTATTTAGCCATTCTCCAGAAGATTTAATTTAGACTATGAAGTTTTTTCATTTTTTTATATATATTATCTAGTATTCAACCTCTTATCTACCATGAAGATCAACATAATCATGCCAAATGAAGGATTAAAAAAGAATAATAATGATTTATTAATAAAAAAAAAGTCTTTCTTTTTTCCAATTCTTATGTGCTGCTTTCCAAACAAAATAGTACAGTTCAATCATCTTCTGAATCAGTTTTACACTCTTAGGCATAAGCCAGAATATATATTTATTAACTGATTGGATGATTTATAATAAATCTAATTAATAAGACCAGTAGGATTTCTAAACATTAGGAAAACTCTTCCCAAATAACAGAATGCAATCATAATTTTTATCCCCCCATTTTAGTTAAGAGATCACTTTTGGCACATTAATTAATCGCGATTGCAAACACCAGTGATAGTTTCAGACAGAATTGATGTCTCCAGGAGGTATCAAGTCTTCATAATATGTTTACCTACATTGTAAATTTTTAAATCCTGACTAAAAACTTTCTTATTTTGTACTCATTTATAATACTTTTCCAAGTGTCATGTTTGTTATAGACAATATGATGAGCGATGAATTTCTTTTTCATGGGAAGAAATTAAATTGAAGGAAATAGTATAACTTAGTTGTAGCTTATTTAATTTACAATAATTAATGATACCATTATGAAAGGCTGGTCAAGCTTCTGAGGGTCATATAAATTTAAGAATACAACCACCACCTTCAACAAAAAGTGGATGTAAGTTCATTTCTCAGGATTGATTATTTTCTCAAATCAATGAGAAAAATTGTATTCCTAAATTAGTAATTAATGGTTGAAAACTCCTCAGAGAGAACAATCAATGAAGACTATAAATGTATTTATAATTTTCTACGTTTTTTATCTTTTTAATTTCTCATAATAAAAAAGTAAAGAAAGTTCTTCTATAATAAAAAATTTGAATTGGCAGTAGAAAGTATCAAAGGCTTAACAGGTTATTAAAAAAAAATTACTAATGATTATTTCTAAACCCTGGTTCATATATAATCTAATACTAAATACAATTTCTTCTTACCTTCCTGTTGGAGTTGAGCTATAAATATGCTTAGATAAGTGTCCGATATCAGTTCAGGTCCACTCAAAAGTGAATTTAAATTGAACCATTGATATCCTAATTTTCTTATAGTAAACCAATGATCTCTATAATTACAAATATAAGCGGTCATACTCCTGCAATAAAAAAGAATATCATTAGTCAAGATTTCAAAATGAACATAAAAAAGATGTTAAATGTCAAATTTCAGTTACTCAGGATTCTGTTTCGCTTTTTCACATACTGGCTCTGAACTGTTGAAAGGCACAAGTTCAAGTCCCCATACTTCCAATGCTGAACTAATAACCTGTACTGAAAAATACCCACTGTCGTCCATATTTTCGGAAGGTTGCTGAAATAGACAAATGAACTTAAGTAACTGGGGAAAAATGTTCATTTTCAGACTTAAATTATTTATTGATAATATTTATTTCTCTCAAAATATCAAGTTCAACTGATAGGACTACCTAGAGAATCTTCAGCAAATCACCATTAATTACAAAAAAAATTAATATAGAAATTATTCAGTTATTTTTCATTTATATTCATGATTCTCATACATATATTTAATAATATGCTGATGTGAAAGAGTATCAATTGCATGGAAAGTGGAAAGGGCAAAGAATACAGTCACATATCTAATAAGATAAATGATAATTAGGACGAAAATGCAAATTCAATAGTAAAAACAGAAAAATACAGATCTATTTCTGACATGATGGGTCATAATATACAACCAAAGCCTTTAGTCTATTTGATTGAAAAATAAGAAAAACAAACTTGAAGAATATATTAGCTCAAAAATGAATAAAAATACAAGAACATGTTTAGGATAAAAATAAGAATGCAACAACAGTAAGAGATATCTCTAAAATTTAATCGCAACAGTAAAATAACAGACAACTACAATTTGAATTTTATTATCAGTAAAAAACCTGCATAAATCTTCTGTAATCATCACTGTCAATCCCTGATTCTGCCATTCGTAATCGTTCTTCATCATCCATTTTTTCAGCTAGAGTAGCTAAATCTACAGGCGTAAAATAAGGTCCTTGCAGCAGAGCATTTAAGCAATGCTGAGCACATAATGATCCCTCTTGCTAAAAGGAAAATTGAAATAAGTAAACTCAAACAATAGTGAATATAGTTTATAAAATAGTAAAAGTGAAAAATGAGTTTATCTAACAAGAAATTCTAGATGATTAGAAACTATGATTACCTTTTCATGAAATATACAATCCATATTTTAAGTAAATTTATTAATTTGGCCTGTATCTTGAAAACTGAGGATAGGAGGAAGAAAATAAAATTGGCACTGTCATAAACACATGAAATTTAAAAATTTAAGGATAATTTATCACCAGTGACTTATAGAGAGAAATTGCATCATATTTGAAGTCGGCGATCATAATACGACTAACAGGATTTTAAAAATAAAAGAAATTATTGAAAAAATTCTAACTATTAGACACAGACTGTCAGAAATGATAAAACTGATTTAGAAATAATTATTACACTATGACGAATGAAAAGTCTTGTCTTGTTTTGGTGTTCATGTTAGTTGCAGGTTATGTTACTTTATCAGTGGATGGGGGGTTGTTGTTACGCAGTTAAGTTGTTTTGTTTGTTGTGATATTGTTATTAATTTTGCTCATTTTATGAACGAATTAAAAAATCTAATCAAAACTGTGTTTTTTAAGCTTATTTTAACTGGTCGAATATGTGCTTCACCTTATAATACAATTGAAGAGGTTAGAAATTAAAACTTCAAATTTAAATGTCAAATATTTAAAGAAGTTTCTGTTATTATGATGTTCTCTTTTAGATGTATGCATTTAGGCATTAACTTTCTTCACCTCTTTGGAACAGAGTGAAAAAATGATTAGTGTCCTAGCTGTGCTGAAGCTAGTCAAGTTAAAAAGTCTTTTCCTTAGTGTTTAACATGAAGAAAACACCTCTGACAATTAATCGCGGTAAGCCACCTTCAGTCCGGACACCCTTATATCTTAGCTCAAAAACTAGGAGCCATTTGAATGAACGCCAATCCTACCTTTTACCATCCTTCCAGCTAGGTCCTGAAAGGTAAGTACTGTTATTTTTATTATTTTTCGTTTCTTGTAATATCTTTCTTTTAATTGATTAGTTATTTCAGGTTAATCAGCATGTCTGAAAGTCCAGAAATATGTGAACCACGGGAAAATGCACATCAACATCAGTTTACTTCTAAGGAAGTATCAGATTGTATGTCTAACTGGTTGGCTTTTTTAAAGGTACATTTAACAAGCATACTATAGTAACCGTTATTATTTGTTGTAATACTCTGTGTACTAAATTTTTAGTTATTATTGTCTTATATTTCATAAAAGTAAAAAATTAATTTGTTGATCGGTTGTTAAGATTTTTTCATATTTTATCATCTATTGGAAAGTTCTCAAATCACCAAAATTTGATATTAAAAAATTAATGTTCTTAATGGCAAAAATAAAAATGGGCTATTAAAACAAGCACTTAGTTTAATAACCTAAATATTTAGCTTATTTTAAATAAATTTGAAATATTTATAATTCATAAATAAAATATATGCACATGCAAACATATAAATAAAATATAATAATACACACAATAATTTTATCTAGCATTTAAGGATATTATGGAGTGGGGTAGCTCAGTGGTAGGGCATTAAGCTTCCGGTGCTCAAGGTCCAAAGTTCGAATCCCGGCTCATGGCAGAATTTTTATTTACCATTTATCATTACTGAATTATTTATTCTGTTTCATTGGCCGTGGGACGATCCTGGGGTAGGGAGACCCTCCTGGGGCACACCCAGACTCTATAAAGTGGGTACCTTTAATTAAGCAATTGATTAAGAAGGAAAACCTGGTGGTTGAGCGTGATCTTGGCCCGATCCTCCCCTACACAACCGTAGGCCTTGAAACAGTACTTTCCCTAAGTAGTACTGAACCCAAGATCCTTCATGGGTTCTAGTTAGTGGTACAAGTTTTTTTATTTAAGGATATTCTCTCATTTATTTCTTGTTTGATACATTGGTTTCCATTCCTGAAGATTTAACGGGAAAAAAAGCCTGTATGACTACAACCCATGAAGTACTGGTTCTTGGTCAATGGTTGTGCAAGGAGATGATTTGACTGAAATCAAATGAATGAATGAAATAACTTTTTAGAAATCGAACCAAAATGATAAAAAACAAACTTCCTTTATAAATTTATTTAAATAAACTAATTTTCAGTTAACTGATGATGACATTTTGCATGTAACTACACATAATATATTGAAAATGATTATAATGAAATTCTTTTACTCTTCTAATTGTATATACTTTTGCTACTTATTCTATGTTCAAAAAATTATTCAAAAATTATTTTCAATTACTGACTTCCTATAAAAATAATGCACTAATTACTTCTGGGATATTTTCCAGGATTCAGAATATCTTAAATCATATGAAAGCTAAGTGATTAATAAAAAAAAATATCATATCAGTCCCCCGGAGGCTAAGGGTACCATGTACATTTTTTTTAGATAATTTAGTAATTTAAAAAAAAATTATTAAACCTCAAAGTTATGGAAAATTGGCTCCTCTGAATAAATACAAAAATGAACATGGTGTTCTTTACCTCTGAGATCTAGATATGACCCTAATTAGTTTCTTGGCCTGACATGTATAATTTTTCACAATTTCATGATTTTTTCAAATGTTGGCTTTATAATGTCCTGAAATCCATTGCAATTTAATGTCATTTTCCATTTAATAAATTCAAATTAATATTGTAACTTAAATTTTATTCTTTCTTATTTCATCATTTAGTATGATGTTTAAGTTTGATGGAGACAATAGTTAGTTATAAACATGGAACATTACCTTAGTTCTAATTTGGAGAAAAATGCATTTTAAACATGTGAAACCTTTCATTTATTATTTCTAATGGCCATATCAAGCAGACAGCTATAATTTTCAATAATCTCATGACTAGTAGGAATTAAAATATTTACAGAAAAAATGGATCATTCCAATTAACTTCATTTAGAGCTGTGTGAGAAAAGGATTGCTGCAATGGTTTTTATTGTCCTAATAATATATTTGTCATTTTTAGAAATAGGGTGAATGGAGATAGACATTTTTTCATTGATACTATCTAATTATTACTGCTTTAACAGGTACTGCAGACTCTATGTGCCACAGGTTCTGATTTAGTTGACAGTCTAAATGCGCTGAGCAGTGGGACAAACATGTGCAAGACTAGGGTTGATCATTGCAAGGCTATGTGGGAACATTTAATTAATGCGACTAACACTGCCGCTTCAATTATACGTAATCAGACAATCGCTTCACTTCAAGAAGCCCACGTAGCTCCTGATATTGATTCAGACCAGGCGGAAACTAATCAGGTGTGGTTGTGATTTTATTCTACCATTATCTTCAATATTATATTATCTCTAATATATATTGATTTTCGGATATGTATTCAGGAACTAATTAAAGCTTTCGATTAGTTTGGCATTATCTGAGTGATATTTTTAATTTAATTTTGTAGCTTTTTAATAGTGCATTTTACACAAGAAAAACATTGATTTATACTGTGTGTATATGTCTTTGTTTAGGTGTTGAAAAAATGCAGAATTATTTCTAGATTTCTAACCAGGGGTGTGGTAATGGATAGGTTGCTGATATAGATAGAGTAAGGGATGATAAGGATAAGAATTTAGAAGGTACTTGGAACTGATGATGGCATTTGTTTTTTCAACATTCAGTCTCCAACTATTGTTTACTGCCCATCTGTTGGTACTATCTATATCTTATTGTACCTTTTTGATTACTTAAAGCATCTCAGTCGATTGAAAGAATTGATAAATGTGGAGGTCAACAGCTTATAAGTGGTGAATGGAGTTAGGAAGATCATTAATATTATCCAGACAAATGGGTTGATTAGAGTAAGGACCCATGAGGAACAACACCCTGTTTTAGTAGAAGGGAGGAGGAAGGAGGTTTTTTGAAATGATAACCATTTAAGAACCAATAGGCAAGTAGGAATGGAACCTCTTTAAGAGGCTGTTTGAAATGCACTGGTGTTGGAGTTTACCAAAGAGAATCTTGTGATTAACTAAATCAAAGAGAACTAGGATTGATTTTAAAAAATCAGATAACCTTTAATTTTCTGTTTGTCTAGAGAGGACTGAAGGTCTAGGTTAATTTTGAGTAAAGCGGTTTGTTGTAATGTTAGGATATAAAACCAGACTACAGAGGATTTAGGAGAGCTTTTTTTCTCAAGGAAGTTATTAAGTTGTTGGTCAACAAATCTTCAGTGTTTGATAGGTTGGAAAGAGCGGAGACGAGTCTAAAGTCAGAAACTGGAGGTAATAGCTATTTTATTGTTTTTTTTTTTTTTATGCTATTGGAAAAATGGAATGTCGAAAGGAAAAGTTATTAGTTATAAGATTCAAAGAAAGTTTGTGGAACACAATGCGAGAGAGAGGGTTGAGTAAATTAGAATTCAGTTTGTCAGGAGAGAAAAAATAAGTAAATAAACTTGGGATCATGGTCTTGTGATAGTGAGTTATGAAAATATTGTGTCTCAGAACAGCTTAAGGAAGGTTTGGTCAGTTTTTGTAAGGATATAAAATAAAATGAAGACTAATCCTTAGATGTTAAAGTATGCCTAAAACATCTGCTGGTAGCATCTCTTCTTCTCATCAAATCTCTTCATTTCTTGATTAGTCTGTGGATCAGAAGGGCATCTGAAAGTGGAAATCTTAATTGATGCTTGTTGATTTCAGAATATGGAGAGATTAGAGTGTAAGCATTCCACCATACATCAATGGAGTAAGAGTAGTAGGTAGGTTCCAGGAATTGGGGTAGTGAAACAAGGAAAGGTTTTGAATTTTTATTGGTTAGTAAGTCAACTTTATGCCAAGAATTTTTATCTGCCTCTGTTTTTTAACACCACATAAATTCTGCTTTAAGAAGTGAGAAAGATACATATTATGACTACTTAAAAAATATGGAGAGGATTTTTTATTTTTTATTGTTTCCATAAATATTATTTATAAGACTGATCAGTTTGTTGTGTCATTAGCAACTCTACACAGTTGAACAGAAGTGGAGGGCGGGGTGGCCGAATGGGCTAAAGCGTGTGCACAGCATCGCGAGTTGCCTGGCAACCAGATATATGAAGTTTGAGAGACAAAAATAAGTACGAGTTCGCGCCCCGGTGCCGGAGGGGATTTTGAATTCCCTGGCCTCACCCTCCGGCCGGGGGAAATAGCCTAAACGGTGAGGTAGGGAAGAACAAAACAAAAAGTTGAACAGAAGGGGTGGCGGTCATAAATAGGCTAAATAGTGACAAAAATATTTTATTAAAAGTCTGGTTTTGGCTTTTAATAAAATATTTTTGTCACTATTTGGCTTATTTATGACCGCCACCACGGATCATCTCCTTCCTTTATAATGCAACGGTCAACTATTAAATATCCAATAATTCTCTTTTAGTTAGGTTCGAATGAACATGTTTAAATTAAATACCTATACTTCCTTTTTTAAGTTTT